ACTCTGACTGTTGATCATTCTGCCAAACTATCCTAACCATCGCCTATCTATTCCCTGCCTATATGCAAGAACAGCATCAGCAAATGTCAATATTCTTCCAACACCTGGTGATTCAGGTTCTGCATTCTTGCTTGTATACACATTTAAGAGCGCCAGAGAACCCTGGGGTAGTCCGGGGGAAATATTACATGGTTCTGAGGACCAGTACCCAGGCGAAGGGCAACCATACGTGATTGCAGGACAGCTGCAAGCTGCTATCCAGTTCACAAACCATGGACAAACCTCCCTTCTCCATGAGTGCAGAAATCAAAATATCATATTTGACTCTATTGTAGGCATCCTCAAGATCAAGTGCTGCCACAGCTGTCTCCTGTCTGTTCTGGAACCCCTCATAAACATCAAAAGCAAAAGTAGCTGCATTAGACCAGGTATCTTTACATGGCAGGTAACTACCCAAACTTTTTGGCAGGAGCTCTTTCCTTTCCAAAAACATTTGTAGTTTAACAGCAGTATTCTTCTCTAGCACCTTGCCAAAAGTATTTTGTACGGTGATAATCCTGAAACCGCTGAGTTTGGAACAGTGTTTGCCTGGTTTTGGAAGTAGAATTAGGTAGCTGTGTACCCATTCCTTGGGTACTGAAGCTGTTCTCATGATCTGGTTGAAGTAATAAGCCAACTCTCTCAAGTCTTCATCACTCATGCTCTTCATATGGGCATACCTGACTCCATCTGGCCCCAGGGCAGTGTCCTTTGCTTTTTGCAATACATGTTTTATATCCTCTACCTTAACCCTTTCGCTGCTGCGCCCTCCGCCAGCCAACGTAACCACTGTGCTAAGCCAGGCGAGAGCTAATCTTTCCCCCGTGCTGAATACCTTTTTTCCTTCAAAAGCAGAAGACGCGCTTGCGGCACGGGGTAAAAATTGTACACCTAAAATAAAAAATCGTTGAAGGGGTGTGGTTGAACTTTGCGCTGACAAGTCAGACGCGCTATTACTACGCCGTGAACACTCATTAACAAAAAGAAAACACTACAAACTTACAAAGCAAACACAAAACACTTTAGTAAGCAAATACATGGTTTTTATTATTATTAATAATATCTTTGTGTGTGAAATATTTCAAAACAAGGTGCGACACACAATGCCAAATCACATTCCTTGCACATGTATCTGGTTTTCCGTCGTTTTTTGCTTTTTGCGCATACCACACACTTTCTGGTTGGGAATTTTTTCTGCGATGTTACGGACTCTATTATTGAAGGGAAATGCCTTTGTACTAAACGAAGTGGCAGATCTTCACTTTTTTTTCCTCCTACACTTTTTCTCTTTTCCTTGCAATATTTATGTAGAATTTCTCTTACTAACATTAAGTGAAATTCAGCAACAGGTGTGTTTTTCCCCACAACAACTTTATATAATGAATGTGCACAGTACACCAACCACGCTTCACATAACGTGTAAAGCATCTAAATCCACCTGAACGCACGTGACAGGATGTTTAATTAATTAATACTTTGGTTATCTGTTGCCGAAAATGCTAACAGCTTAAATTTAAAATTTGCATTTAAAATAATTAATTTTTAAAAAAACGGCACGTAGGGGTTGAACGCTGGACCTTTCGATTGTAAGGCAGACGTGATCCCAACTACACTAGAAATTCACATGAAACTATGAACTGAAAAAAAGACCAGTATTGTACACTTTAATAGACAAACACATTTATGTCAGTTGTATAGTATATAATTAACATTAATATTAATCATCACGTCAGTACGTGACCATATCTTTTTTTTTTTTAAATTATTTTGGATCCATTTCAAATCCAGTCGATGTAGATAGCTAGGTCATATGGTCACTGGTCAGTCTTGTTCACAGTCAGAAGTACACGTGTCCGCCGGCGTGCCGCGAAGATAACCCAGCTCATATAACTCATACGTTTCGAAGTGATCCTTACTACTACTCCTTGAAAGAAACTCCATTAATTCTTCTTTATTTAAACAAATGTTCTTGTTATTTTGTATTTTTAAAAAAAAATTTAGACTAACGCAAAACCAGAAATATATTTCAGGGCAAAAAAATTACCGATCACCGACAATGCTTCTATGGTAACAAAGAAACAGGATAACGTGAAATGCATCTAAATACGCCTAAACTCACTTGATAAGGGTTTTAATTGTATGTAAACGGGTCAGTTTGATCAGATTAAGTTAGTATGTATTGCTATTTCACCCCTAAGAATTACTGTCCTTAGCAATCTGTAAAAAAATGTCCAGAACGAGATATCTCGTCCTTAGCAGTGAGGGCACAGAAAATTGCAGCCGAGTTATCTCGTCTTTAGCAGTCTGCCAGGCAGACGAGTTATCTCGTCCATAGCAGCGAAAGGGTTAATAATATCCTCAAAATAATTATTATTTATTGTATTATACAGATTATTTTTAACTGAATTTGTAAGCTCCCTATCATTATGATCAGTTTGGGCTATAAATTGCCCAAAAAATAAAGAGCATGTTTAGAAAAACTGACAAATAACAGTTTCTTGGAAGAAAACTAATGGTTTTGCAGAGACCTTTTGCAGAATTGAAAACAGTCAGTTGCAGTGAGAAACACTGGTACTTTACTAGAATGAACCTATACTATTGTATGCATGTGAAACATGGATAATAAATAGTGAAATTGAGAGACATATGACAGTAGCCATAATTAATATGATGGTTTCTGAGGGCTGTACAAAGAATGTCATGAATGGACACACAAATAAGGCAATCAACAATGAATCTGTAACTTGATCAGAGAAATTAGACAGTCCAGATTTCTTTGACACATATTTTGAGGTAAAAAAAAAGCAAGTCTAGAAAAACTTGTTGACAACTAGTAGACTTAATGGCAGAAAAGTTAAGGGAGGACCTGGAGATAAATGCCTAGTTGGCTTGACCACACAGATAACAGGTAAAAACACAGACCCGATCTAGTGATCATGTAAGATAGTATAGTGAACCATATCCATCCAAACTTTGTATAGGCACACAATGAGGATACACAAAAAACAGCAGAAAGACAGCAACAGAATGTCTTGTCAAAGGTATTAACTTACATTTTATGCACTGTAGATATGTGACATTAATATTTAAATTGTAACGTATATTTTAGTGGTAAAACTAGAACATGACTGAAATAAGATCTGAAGATTGCATAATTCCTACCACTGGCTGTTGTAATATAGTATGGAGGTTACTGCAGTTCTGAAACAAGACACTGGTTCGTGCTCAATTCCCAGTAATGGCTGATTGCTTTTTTTTCTGATCAGTGAAACTTTGGTAGCAATCCATTTAACAAGATCTAATTTTCCTTGAGGGAAAAGTAGTTAGAAACAGAGTTGGTCACCCCACTTCATTGTCTGTGGCTTAGAATTTGAGAAACCCACACTTTTCACCCCAGCATTTACTGAGGCAGTGCTATACCAAGCAAAGAGACCCTGTGTCTAATATTTCTGATGTAACTAACTGCCCTAGGTTCAGTCAGTTGTAAGGTTTACCAGCCTAGGCACCATACATCAAGGCAATTTAGTATTTAGCACACATAAAGTAAGGTAAGAGACATCTGTGCTGCAAGATGGAAAAGCAACAGCTATTTATTGATGAATCATAACCTCAGCCAACTGCAGCATTGTGGGCATCATCTTAATATATTCATTCATACTTGATAGTAAGTAGTGGATGAATGAATGGAGAATTGACATCACTGCACATAGGACATTCCTACCATGCCCCATCCGAGGACATTCCTACCATGCCTCATCCAAGGACATTCCTACCATACCCCATTGGAGGACATTCCTACCATGCCCCATCCGAGGACATTCCTACCAAGCCCCATCCGAGGACATTCCTACCATGCCCCATCCGAGGACATTCCTACCATGCCCCATCCGAGGACTTTCCTACCATGCCTCATCCGACGACATTCCTACCATGCCCCATCCGACGACATTCCTACCATGCCCCATCCGAGGACATTCCTACCATGCCTCATCCGAGGACATTCCTACCATGCCCCATCCGAGGACATTCCTACCATGCCCCATCCGAGGACATTCCTGCCATGCCTCATCCGACGACATTCCTACCATGACCCATCCGAGGACATTCCTACCATACCCCATCCGAGGACATTCCTACCATGCCCCATCCGAGGACATTCCTGCCATGCCCCATCCGACGACATTCCTACCATGCCCCATCCGAGGACATTCCTGCCATGCCCCATCCGACGACATTCCTACCATGCCCCATCCGAGGACATTCCTGCCATGCCCCATCCGACGACATTCCTACCATGACCCATCCGAGGACATTCCTACCATGCCCCATCCGAGGACATTCCTGCCATGCCCCATCCGACGACATTCCTGCCATGCCCCATCCGACGACATTCCTACCATGACCCATCCGAGGACATTCCTACCATGCCCCATCCCACTTTTAGTAGACAGATAAAGAGTTGCCATGCTGGTGGTGCCGGCGATTACCTGACTTACAAACAGTTGTTTTTCCTACTCCGTTACTCTGTGTCATTCAGACCTGTCTGCTGGATCAGCTTTACCAGACACTGATGTTCTATACTGCACTGTTGCACCGTCCACTTGATTGCAGACAGCTTTCCCCACATCTGCCTATTATAAGGAAGATCACCTCCTGAGTCTTATCAAATCCATCAGCTTTCTATTTTGTGATGCAAGCCTTTTTTGCCAATATGCTTCTGTCTATTTCATGAAGCATGCTCTGAGAGTCCATGACAGTTGCATGTTGAGCTGAATACCTTCCAGCCATCAGAAAGCTATTCTTACAGTCTTCACATGGATGTTTCAGCTTTATACATGTAGCTGTATTTTCTTAGCAATGCTCATTTACTCACTACCATACTTTTTTTTTTGAAACACATACTACTGTGTTGCTAGTTAATGAACCCATAGATTACACAACATTTAGTACATGATGTTACCTTAAGTCACTTTCAGAAAGGACAAGACTCGATCTTCTTCTACTGCTTGCTGGAACATTCTGTAGTCCTTTAAACAGACAAATATAATTTCATTATGTCAGCACATACAAGCTTAGTACAACATTGACGTAGACTGTTACAGAGCCTGTCAATGTAACAATTATCTACCACACAAATAGTTTTTAAACAAGCATTATTATGTGCCTTTTTTTAAACGGGAAAATGCTGCAGCATACCTGCCATAAGAATATGTGTTATTAGTGCACACTGAAAATGGTCTAAGTGAGTGGTTTTTGGTGGAAACGTGAGTGAAACAAGGCTGCATTCTATCCCCCTTGTTGTTTAGAATAGCCATTGAGTGGTTAATGTCTAGGCAAATACCTGCATTGACTGCGATAACACAAAGAAGGTGGAGATATACTGGGAACACTCTGAGAGAAAATGAGCAGGGAATTACAAAACAGGCACTGAATTGGGGGAACAAATTGTCTAAGAAAAAAGATGACGTCCTAGGGAAACATTAAGAAGAACATTATTATGAGAGGCTAAAAATGCTGGGCTGAACTCCATGAAGGAATCGAGAATGTTGCATGCAAAAGAGCTGAGTGGAGAAATCCAATGTGAGCCCTATGTGGCATCTAATGGAACACAAAGGATGATGATAATGTACCATATACAGCAGTGTAGTCCATCTCTTCTGACAGGCCATTTATCCCTCTTGTTTGAGGATCATGTTTTTGGTTGTCTCCCCATGTGATGTGTTGGGCAAGTCTAAATGAATCTTTCCTGTAATAGTCTTTGTTTGTAGCTTTATTGTTTTGGTGACTCATTACAGAAACAAAATTTATCCAGTCACAACTTCTGAACCAACATGTTTAGTGTGGCAGTGGTAGACACAGCCATACAAAGGATAAGTTAGTATGGCCAGAGGAAAACACAGCAATTTAGAGAGTCAATTAACTCTGAACTGTTAGAGGCGCTATTGTCAGCGAGCAAAGGTTAACTGGTTGACTATTCCTGTAATAAATTTAAAAAGGCAGGACCTAAGGGACAACGAACAAAGACACCTACACTAGATTTCTTGGGGTTTTTCTATCCAATTATGCAAAGTGGCTTGGAAACCTCTCTTTAGCGGGAAAGAGAAAGGATAATGAACCTAAAATGACAGTTTCATAAACTCAGGTACAAAGAAGAGAGGTAGAACAGATGAGCATCAGGAGTATATACACTGTGAGCGAGTATGCAGGAAGACACTTGAGCTGAGACTGCCACCAATGAAGGGTGGCTGTGAGCTAATAAACCCAATTTGGGATGATGTCGATACAATGGAGCTGAGTCCATACTTCTTTTGTGTAACTTGCCAGACAATGCATGAAACATTTCTGGATGTTATGTAAGTAGTACTCTGTTTATGTTAAGTAATTAGATAGGATAGGGTATTATATCACTTGTTGGGTTATTGGCAGGACACATAATGATGATTACTATGCTATACAATAGGGAGACACAGGTAATGCCATGTTGACAGATTCAAGTGCATTATTGCAATGTATGAGTAGCCATATGTATTTATAATGATTTCTGGGAGCAGACATAATCTTGGAATACTAGAGGAAAGGAAAGCCAAACAACAAGGGTCCAAGTATACAGCATACAGAGATTTCCCTACTATATAGGTCAGACGCACTATGTCAGATTTCACAGGTAGAGAGAGGTGTATGTTGAATGGACTGGCTTACCTTAGGATGACCTTTCCTAGAAGCTGATTGTGTCTGCAATGTTTTTGATTGTAATACAGGAGGAAAGCAGTGGGCACTGATGTCATAAGAATAGTTGTATGTATCATATTTGTAATATAGGACATGGGCTTCTGTTAGAAGATATAGTAACTACTGAACGACAGGCGTGGCACATGATGGTGATGATTATAATATCCAGTAACTATGGCGTGTAAAGTATCATACTGAACAGCAGAGTCAGCACTGCTAGGGAATGATAATGCCATATGCGGTAACATTATGCAGTTATAATGCCGTTAACAATTAGATGTGATATTAAAGAGAGAATGATATAAGAAGATATGTGAAAATGAGAGTCGTTTAGCGAGGCAACCAAACGTTCACAGTCCTAGTCAAACGACTGGGGGCCAGCTCGAGAGTATAATAGAATTTACCTGTAAAAGGAAGGGGGGGGGGGGGGGGGGGGGAGAAGAAGTATCAGATGTTGAAGTTAGTGGGGGACGCAAGGCCAGGTCTGTAGCCAGACTGTTGTTATTGAAGAGGAAATGCATGGATATTCATGTGGTAAAAGTTAATAGTGCATGTATAGGACATAGCAATATGTTTTAAATGAGAAGTACATGTTCATTAGCGGATGGATGTTTATTCAAGGGTTTAAGGATGCCTGTTTGACGTAAGAACTATTCATATGAAGAAGAGAAGTTGTTTGCACTGTAAAATAAGATTTACGTTGTTGGATGCACGTTTATATGCTTGGGAATGTAAACCTAATGTGTTTCTTGAATGTATTTAACAGGTTACATGACACTTCTGGTCATGATACTGGGTTGGCTAGATGGTAGTCGGTATGTGGAAATAGGGTAGATGATATCTAGACTGCAAGTGGCAGTATGGCTAGACTGTAGTCGGTATTTGGCCTATTTGTAGAGTAGGTGTAGGAGTTCTTATTAGTTTATCGCTGAGTAGGGAATATTCTGCAGTCAATTGCAATGAACGATAAGACTGTTTTATAGTGTGAGTAGAGACAGATCTTGCTCTGTCTATAGCTTAGTATAACATCTTTTGTATTGAGGTGATCTTGGTTGTGTAATATGAGATATCATCGTCATCAGGTGCCTTGCCGACTGGCGTGGGCGATCATGCCTCTCCATAATCCGTGATCTCCTGCAGCATGTATCAGTTCGTGTGCCGACACACCTCCATGCCATGCAACAAGACTGTCAAGCATCTTCTCTCGTTGTCTTCCTCTATCCCTCCTTCCACAGATCTTTCCAGTGGTCACAACATGTTCTATTTTCCCTCTTCTCATAACATGGCCGAAAAATGATGACTGTCTCCTTCTGATGTCAGTGATAAGTTGTCTTCGGTCTCCCGCCTCTTTTAAAACCTCTTGGTTGCTCTTTTTGGCTGTCCAAGGTATTCTAAGCATTCTTCTGTAAAACTACATCTCTGAGGCCTCTAAAAATTGTTTGGCCTGCCTACCGATTGTCCAGGATAATATGAGATATACAACTTTGTAATTCAGTACCTTAATAAACATGATTGTCAATTGTTATTCTTTTATTCCATTGTTAGTTTGTTGAGAATAGGAGTGATACTATTATTTAGCTGTCGAAGTCTTTATACTACTTTACTATAATCTCTATTTCATACCTCCACTGACCATTACCTGATCGTCTGGGGTGTAGACTTACTACGCTCTTCACATAGGAGAACCTTTTGTCCTCTCATACATCCTTTAACTATTATTCTTCTCTTCTGTCCATCTCTACTTTTACATATCTCCTCTCTTCTTTCCCCCTTTTAAAACGTACCTGTTACACAAGATGGGTACCCAAATTCAGGTATACACCACAGGACACATTTGTTAGTTCTGCTTTTGAATTAAAGAATTGTACAGGCTATTAAGAACATGCTGTATGCTAAAGTATGTCTATGGTAAAAGAGTTTGGGTACAATAGCACTAACTTACCATTTTCACGCTTAAATTCCATCATGTTAGAAGTTAATTTTGGGGAGAGTTTTCAGGTAGTTATTTAACATAATTTGGAGCATGTTGCTTTAGACTGACTTATGACTGAAATTGTCCACAACATGTTGACACACAGATTACTAGAAGTGACTTATAAAATACCACAGTGAAATTGAAGTCATTTATTTTACTTGAACCCAGGGTTGCAGTTTCAACTACTGGAGCTAATCTTAGTGGATATTTTAATTCTTGATGATTTTTGAGCCACCACAAAAGTCTGGAGACTACAAACCAAGGATATCCAGCGTGTGCTTGCAGATCGCATGTGGTACCTGTTTTGTTATGTACATGTGCTTATTATGTGGAAACAATGCTTTGTACTGACTGTGACTTGTCAAGACTTTTGAAGGTTCAGCCTGGCTCTCTGCCATGGAAAGAACTATAAACTTAGACTTACAGAAAAAAAAAACTCTTACTGCCTGTATTTACCACTTTTAAGGGTAATGTAGGACACGGAGGGGGGAGGGGGAGTGCGGGTCTTAAGCCTGATTAGTTAGGACAACTTAATTACAGATCTTGCCAAGTTCACATCAAAAAGAAGGATTTTATTGAAATTACCTTTCATTTTATGAACAGTTAATGAATATTTAAGGAAGGTACCAAGCCTTTCATCTTTGCTAACTATTTTTCTGAATAATATGTTAACATAATCAATGATGTTGGTCTATTTCAAATAGGGGATGTTAGGCTATATCACAGTTAATAGTAAACTACTGTGTTCTAACCTTTTTATTTATTGTGTGTTGTCGAATATCTTTCAGAAAAGAACGCTTCTATGTAAATGAATGCAAATTCATGCTGTGACGTAGCAAAACTGAGAACATGTTTGGGTTATAAGTCAGTTGTTGAGGTTTCAACTTCACTGCATCAAAAGTGCTAGTGAAATCATATAAACTGCTCTTCACTCTCCCATTTGAAAAACTACTGAACAAACAGTTAGTCCTATGTCAAAATCTAAAAGCAGTCACATGCACTTAATGCTTAAGGCAGCCATATTTACACCTCTGTGTAAATGTATGCATGGCCAAGCTGCAATTTCTGGACAACGTAAGACCCACTTACACCACAGTAACTGTGTTCATTGAAAATCTGAGGTGCTACAGCTGTTTCATTGCCACATCTTTCTCGCATCTCCTCTTTCTTGCTGACATCTTGAGCTATGTCTATAAACTGATACGCAAGCTGTTTGGCCTTGAGGACTGTCTCTATGTGGTTCTGCTGAGTGTGCAGCTGGTGAAAAAAACATTTGTAACATTATTGTCACTTTGAAATAATACAATACCTGGGAAAGAAGAGTTAAAACTATATAAATTGAACATGCTTTGGGAGAAAGAAACATTTCATGTAAGCTGAATGTTTTAGGAGAGAAAGTGGTATTGAGAGCTGACCGTCCAGAAGCAATGGCAAACTACTAGATGTAAATTTGCCTAAAAAAACCACAACTGCCAAAAAATGCTGGGGTTAGTTCTGGAGTGTCCTGTAAAGAATATGCAACTAACACTACAAAAACAAAGTGAACCCGTGTAAATGAGAGGAATACACTAAAATGTGAAGAGTTATAATTGAGGTAGATACACTGAATATCAGATGTCAACATGTTATAAGTAAGACTAATACACTACACATAAAAAGTGCATATGTTATAAATGAGGGAAATACACTAAAATACAAACAATGATCATGTTTCAATTCAGAGAAAGCTATCTTCATGTAGCAGGTCCTTTGCAAAACCTCGTTCTCATCACTGTCTGCCTAGAAGAAACTTGGTCTCCTGCCTCCTGTACTTTCATATTCAAGGAGCCACTTATATCTTGCGCCCATCTTCATGTTGGTCGGCCCCTGCTCCCTCCTTCCTAGTACAATGCCTTCTGTTATTATTTTTTCTAATCCTCCATGGTGCTTGATATGAACAAAATATTTCAGCTCCCGAGACAAGATGCTGTTCATTAGCCAATCTTCCTTGATGTACAGAAATACATTATATACAAACAGTGAACATGTTAAAAATTGAGTGAAATACACTAAATGTAAAAAGTGAACATGTTATAATATAGAGGTAAATTTGTCATTTATAAACTGTGAACATGGTATATGTGCATACAGACACTCACAAAAACAAACACAGACCACCACACACTGACAGACATACCTATCCAGACACATACCATACACGCAGACACACATACATACATGCACACAGAAAACACACGAAGACACATACACGGACACGCACACAGACAGACATGCACACAGAAAACACAAGCAGACATATACAGAAACATACACATTCATACACACATACATTCAAATATGTATACACTCACATATACATACATACATCAGTCACATATAATAAAGCACATTAAGAAAGGAACAACTATAGATGTTTAGCATACACCACACTCTTTAAAACAGCTATAGGTGCAGAGCATACGCTGCACTCTTCAAAACAACTGTAAATGCAGAGCATACACCCCACTCTTCAAAATAACTGTAAGTACAGAGCATACGCCCACTCTTCAAAACAGCTATAGGAGTAGAGCATACACTGCACTCTTCAAAACAACTACAGATGTGTAGCATACGTCGCACTCTTTAAAACAACTATAGATGTGTAGCATACGCCGTACGCTTACAAACAACTATAGATGTGTAGCCTATGCCGCACTCTTCAAAACAACTGTAAGTAAAAAGCATACCCTGCACTCTTCAAAACAACTATAGGTGTAGAGCATACGCCGCACTCTTCAAAACAACTATAGATGCGTAGCATACGCCGCACTCTTCAAAACAGCTATAGGTGTAGAGCATTTGCGGCAATCTTCAAAACAACCAGAGGTGTTGAGCATACGCCGCACTCTTTAAAACAGTTATAGGTGTAGAACATATGCCACACTCTTCAAAACAACTATAAAAGTAGAGCATACACCACACTCTTCAAAACAACTATAGGTGTTGAGCATACACCACACTCTTCAAAACAACTATAGATGTGTAGCATACGCAGCACTCTTCAAAACTATAGGAGTAGAGCATACGCCGCACTCTTCAAAACAACTATAGGTGTTGAGCATACACCACACTCTTCAAAACAACTATAGGAGTAGAGCATACGCCGCACTCTTCAAAACAACTAAAGATGTGTAGCATATGTCGCACTCTTCAAAACAACTATAGATGTGTAGCATACGCAGCACTCTTCAAAACTATAGGTGTAGAGCATACGCCGCACTCTTCAAAACATCTATAGGTGAAGAGCATACGCTGCACGCTTACAAACAACTATAGATGTGTAGCCTATGCCGCACTCTTCAAAACAGCTATAGGTGTAGAGCATACGCCGCACTCTTCAAAACAACTATAAGTGCAAAGCATACGCCGCACTCTTCAAAACAGCTATAGGTGTAGAACATATACGGCACTCTTCAAAACAACTATAGGTGTTGAGCATGCGCCGCACTCTTTAAAACAGTTATAGGTGTAGAACATATGCCACACTCTTCAAAACAACTATAGATGTGTAGCATATGTCGCACACTTAAAAACAACTATAGATGTGTAGCCTACGCAGCACTCTTCAAAACATCTATAGTTGTAAAGCATACGCCGCACGCTTACAAACAACTATAGATGTGTAACCTATGCCGCACTCTTCAAAACAACTGTAAGGGCAAAGCATACGCCGCACTCTTCAAAACAGCTATAGGTGTAGAGCATATGCCGCACTCTTCAAAACAACTTTAGGTGTTGAGCATATGCCGCACTCTTCAAAACAACTGTAAGTGCAGAGCATACGCCGCACTCTTCAAAACAGCTATAGGTGTAAAGCATATGCCACACTCTTGTCATGGAATGAACAGCCACCATACACAGTGGACGAGTCGGGACTTGATATCCCTCGCGCGCAAAAAAATTTCAAACTTAGACCCATCCGGAAAGGTATATAGTCCCTTATATTGAATTACCTTTATCTGGTAATATGTTAATTTCTAGACCCTCCATTTGCTTTGATAAATCTTCATTTTCAAACTTGTAACTGTAAATTGGCTAATTCTAGTATTTTAATTAGAAATTCCTGTCAACTGGTTTACTCCTGGTTCAGGAATACAGGGAACTTTTTTCCTGGTGACGCGTTTGATTTTGAAAAACGCCATTCTTTCGCCTGATCCCAAAGTGTCAAGACGAATACCCAATTTTGATAGAATTTGGCGCATTCATAGTTCCAGTTCTAACTTGGAAGATTTCCTAAGCTTGGGTAAGTTAATTATAGTTTACGAGTACCTTAATTAATGTCATTCTAAAGTAGATCACTGCTGTAGAGAGAGCAGTATCAGCTATGTGATCGCACAGAGCTCGACCGTTCTTGATGTCCAGAGATCAGGATCCGAACCTTAGACCTTCCCCTGTACAGACTAATTAGTTGGCGCTTTACATACCCCACACCATTGGTAAAGATATTAAACCCTACAAGTAATTGTTCTCTGACCAGTCAAACAAAGTTTGTGCAGCATTAACTGGAACAGAGAATTTAGGTCAGCTTAACCTACAGTTAGGGCTAGGCGCTCTGCGTCGAGGTGTGTTTGACACAGACTCAATGGGTGTGTAATGAACGGCCTGTGGAGACGGAATATATATGGGTACTGACTGTAAACATTGTGTGTCTGGGTGCAGATGTGAGGGTGGAGATAGGACGATCTATGTGTGGTAGTGTCTATCTATCTCCACTATATATATCTGACTTTCTATCTGCTGCACTAGTTTACAGACAGATAAATGAAAGGAGACATTGTCTCCTGGTCTTGAGAGTACACTCTGAGGAATGTAAAAGAGGACAAGATGATACCCCCTTGATGATTACTAATTCTGAGTTCTTTCCTGACAGGATGAGACCTCTGTAGAGATCAGGCAGACGAATCACAGTCCAGCCAACTACCACCAACCTATACCATTCTATGCACCAAGCATAACCATGTCCTGCCCTTTTTGCCACTACCTCAACATGGCAAAAGCGTGTTAGTGAGCTCCAAGATGAGTGGACCTTTGCAGACATTTGTGTCTTCAACCTAATGAACCAGTCTTCAAGAGCTTGGTTGAGCTCTGAGGCAGTTTTGTGACCTGACCTGTGAGAGAGACTTGTTGAGTCCCTGTGCAGTTCCGGTGTCCTCGATGGTGAGGTAATCAACTGGTACCAGATCAACTAGAGATACCTGAGTCAACTACAGTCGAATCACCATTGACTGAGGGGAGCATCGATCTATGAACTGGGCTAAGTGATCTATGAATTACCATCATGCTCTTTTCCCACAGCTTCTCATAATTCCTGTGATGAACTCATATCCATCTCAAGGCAATCTGGCTGCTTCAATATTTGGGTCGAGTCATTGTTTCCTAGGATACATCCACTGAGATCTTGTGTACCAATTCACTATTTTATATATATATTGTACTAATTACATGCATTCATTTTCATGGCTGACTTGGGTGTCCCTGTTTCACCTTTCCAACTGTTTAGCATTGATTTGTGTGAGTAATAAGTGTTATCTGTGTTAACTTGGTTATGATAGTAAACTAACATAACCTGGGGGCTATCTTTTTATAGTAGTGGGGGCGTCCAGCCAAGTGTGCCTAGGAATAATATATATAGATATATTTTGTAGTGCCAAAACTTGAGTTGCCCTACTCCAGAAATAAATTGAGCGTATATTGGCCAGGGGCATCCCTTAGACCAATACGAGCCAAACGCAATCGACTCAACATAATTATTTCTGAGTGCTGTTGGTTCTTAAGGAAAAATCCTTAAATCAGGCACGTGACAGGAGTGATATGTGACAACTCTTCAAAACAGCTATTGGTGTAGAGCATACGCCGCACTCTTCAAAATAACTGTAAGTGCAGAGCATACGCGCACTCTTCAAAATAACTATAGGTGTTGAGCATACGCCGTACTCTTCAAAACAACTATAGGTGTTGAGCATACACCGCACTCTTTAAAACAAATATAGGAGTAGAGCATACGCCGCACTCTTCAAAACAACTATAGGTGTTGAGCATACACCGCACTCTTTAAAACAACTATAGATGTGTAGCATGCACCGCACACTTACAAACAACTATAGATGTGTAGCCTATGCCGCACTCTTCAAAACAGCTATTGGTGTAGAGCATACGCTGCACTTTTTAAAACAGCTATAGGTGTATAGCATATGCTGCACTCTTCAAAACAACTATAGGTGCAGAGTATACGCCGCACTCTTTAACATTATAAATATATCACTGTACCCACCTCTTTCTTGAACGTGACTGAGGTTACATACACAATTATAGTCATTGCAGTCAGAAATGGTGGCTGTACTAGTTCTAATTGTGACAATTAGCGTTGTTAAGAAATTCAGAAATCACAATGGCTTGACTACTTTCCGCTCTTCTGGCTTCTGTACCTACACTGTCTAACCGGTAGTTTGCGAGCTTTCGGCTCATCCTATACTTTTGGCACTGACACACACAACGGTGTAAACATGCTCAAATAGGAGTCCTGGGAAATAGTGTCTGAATGAGAAACATGTGAGTGAAGATGTGTCCTGAATACTTTCCTGTCAACGAATCTTCTGTGTGGTATCATTAGAATGTTTACAAAAAACCTAAACTTATACCCAAAGTTAATTTGTTTAGATACTGAGAATGCGAGAAGATAAGTACAGCACAATAAAACACGCATCTTCAATCTGTTGGTTATGTTAGAAGACTAGGAAAACATCGAGACACAATGAAGTAAAGGACCCCTTTCCTTGCTTTCGGATGTATTGGGCATATAGTGCAAGACCTATAATTTATAGACCAATCGGCACTCGGTTGGTGATGTGATCAATATCACGCCGGCCGACTTTACTTCACAAGACTTAACCTGGTCCCCATCTAAGGTTGGGTCAACCTGGGAACCTATGTCATTTCTTAAAAAGTCTAGCTCCTTTTGGATATGAATCCACGACCTTTGGACCTGTGGGCAAGCGTCTAGCCGCTACACTGCGGCGACTCCGTGAAAGCTATAGGTGCTGGTGAATTTAATGTTTTCCAGTGCTAAATGTGCCAGTTATAGCTTCATTCAATGATCATTAAGCATTTCACGTGAGCCTCTGGTCACTCTCATTGCATCATTCCTTCTAGGCCGTTGTGATGATCTGTTTGAGAGTCTTTACCACATCTAAGCTGCAGTTCAGTTATATAGAAACTGATTGCGCTGGATAAAACGAAACAAGATAGTCATGACAAGATCAGAAATTTCCAGTAAACTGATAATTTTGACAGTCTACAAGGCACTTTAATTATTATTATTATGATACATTCTTAAATACACTGTAGCTATTGTTTCATATATTTGAACTGTTAACGTGAACAAATTAATACCTCTGACAAGGTATGTGTCTTGTGGACAGATAACAATGCATGTTTGCAATATGCTTACTGAACGCACTAAATGTTATAATTAATGACTTGTCAATTTATATGTGTTGGTGAGAGCGTTCTGTCTGCAATGTCATTATGGTCGTTACTGATTGTGTTTTATATGGAAGCTGACTAGTTCTAATTTGTACTGATTTGTTAAAATATGGCTAAGACTGTGCAGCAGCAACAAACGGCTCTCTGTTACCTTCACGGAACACTTTCATTCTGCACTGTACCCGCCTTAACACGCTCGGGTTTACAGTATTTGCAAACCGCGTTCTGAAAACGATCGCGCGAGCGAGCAACAAAGTTCACCGAGGATTGCACACTCACGTACCCGTGTTTCACTAGCCTCTAACAGGGCACCCCTAATCTGGAGATCTACCCAAACTCACGACACATGATGTTTGTTATGTCAGATACAGTCACATTATAAATCGACTAGTTATTTTGTTTTTAAAGTCTGCTAAAACGACACGCGCTTGAAATATGCAAGGAAAACACTGGCATCAAATGAACTGAGGTCAGAAATTAAAATTCTAAGCACTCCCGTTGCATACAAACAAACAAACAAATGAGCATTTCCCATATTTTAAGCTGGTATAAGGACAAACAAAAATTAGCATCTTGAGCCATCAGGTGCCCCAATAAAATATCTTATACTGTTGAATGGGGTTTCTGGGATTCGTACCTGCTTGATTTTTGTCCTAGATAGTTTTGTTCTACAAACTGCTATCCGGGAGGAGAGCGGGCGGGGGGGGGGGGGGGGGGGGTGTGTTTACGGAGGAATAACACTTGGGTACAAGTAACGTTTTAGTCAGCACAAACAACCACTTCACATCGTCGCGCGAGATTTCTTTACCTTTCATTTATTATCTGTGACCTTTCCCACGGGCTGCACTATCTTCTAGGGAGTTCGCGTTGCATTATTGCGTTCTGTATTTCAAGCTCTGGGCGGTTTTAATAACTTCAAAACATCTAGAACTAACCCAAAACCCTTACCCCACAGCTTTAGCCTACGTGAACAACATGCGCAGATTCAGTAAATGTTATGATGATAGAGAAAACCAAATCAATGACAAGCGCACACATATTTCTTGGGTTGCAGGAAGCATGCGGACATTCTGTGAAAGGGTTACTTTGAGTCACGCTGCTGTAATTTCTGTTCTACTTGCTCCTGAACTTCCTGGTCTCAAGCATGACTTCCCATCATGTTACAAAAGTACCAAGCTGGAGGTGTACATCGGGTTTCTCTGACATCCCAGACTGACGTGCTGACATCCACGACAGGCTATCTCAGCACAGTTTGTAAACAGATTAACAAAACAGCAACACAGTTACAGTGGTTTTACTGCACACGTATTATATTATTTTGCTATTTAGCATTTAATAATAATAATTATGGCTATCCTCTGACTAACGGTCGGCAAAGATGGCGGCCGCAAAATATCCAGTCGAGCCACAGTCATGTGTTGTAAATGGTCAGAAATTAAAGTGGAAACTAATAAGGAACGAAAACTAATTAGGCGCGACAAAAATGTTATATTAAATCGAATACTTACCGATAATTTTATGCCTTTATATCTGGAAATTATGGCACAGACGTTCTAAATAGTGCTCGAAAATCAGCTTTTTGTGGCTGCTACGCCATTGAAACTAGGCTAAGTACGATCGGAACAAATCGCGGCTCGTACCGCATTGGTAACGCACCTTTCTTTTTAGCAGCATCCACAGATCGGCTATCCTTCGAATAACGGGCACAAAAGATGTCGACCAAAAACAGGGCCCCACTTACGTGTCAATTTCGAATTTCCAGCGACTTAATTTGCGGTTTTCCGGCGACTACTGCCACCGCCGTGAGTAGCCCACACGCCGCTCATGCGGCGTGGATTGGGGCTGAACTAGATGGCTAGGACTCAAGAGCAAAGCTGCAGGAGATGTGGAAGCTGCTGCTCGTGGGTCCCAGCCATCTAGTTTAGCCCCCTCTACGCCGTGGGGGAGACTCTTGGCGGCGAGTTTAACTCGGTGGTTTGCTCCGTTTCTCGAAATTGTCAACAGACACTAATCCTAGTTTTCCTGCGATGTGCTCGTGATCGCAAGTGCGCAATACTGGATATTTTGCGGCCATTTTTGCTGATTGTTAGTCGGAGGATAGCCATAATTATTATTATTTATTTTTATTCTGAATATTATCATTATTATTGATAGGTTCATTCCCTGGAGCTGACTGTGATACTGATTATAAACTTCTTTTTTACAGAATCTAAAATAAAATTCAAACAAGTATTGAAAGGAGGAATGCTAGAACATTTGGATTTAAGTAACATACCAAGTGATTACAAAATTGAGGTTAAAAACAAATTCGAGGCACTCATGGCACTGTCGGAGTATTTGACACCCGACGAGTTAGCCAATAAAGCAAGAAACATCATCTCAACAGCCCAAAACATGATATTTAATTAACAACACAAGAAACAGGTTTACATTTTTTTTTTAAACTTCAAGATGAAAGAAAATCAAAGGATTTTAAAACAAACAGGGGCGGAAACAAAAAGCCATGCATACAGGAACTACGCAGAAGAGCTATCAGAAGAGATTTTTAATAAATTAACACACAAAAAAGGCTTCATCGGGGTGTCATCTCTCAGCAACGACTTGGGTTTTTGACCATCATAGATTTCAGCAATTCTAATCCTTTCAACTTCTTCCTCCTTCTCCCCTGAGGAAATTTCTTTTGCAATGTCTTCCGCATTCCATTCAGCGGTTTCAGGATTATCACCCTACAAAATACTTTTGGCAAGGTGTTTGAGAAGATTATTTCTGTTAAACTTCAAATGTTTTTTTGGAAAAAGAAGAGCTCCTGCCAAAAGGTGTGGGTAGTTACCGACCACGAAAAGATATCTGGTCAAATGCAGCTACTTTTGCTTTTGATGTTTATGAAGTGTTCCAGGACAGACAGGAGGCAGCTGTGGCAGCTCTAGATCTTGAAGATGCCTACAATAGAGTCAGGTATGATGTTTTGGTATCTGCACTCACGAGGAAGGGGATTTGTACTTGTTTGTGAATTGGACAGCAGCTGTCCTGCATTCACGTATGGTTGCCCTTCGCCTCGTTACAATGACCTCAGAACCATGTAATATCGCCCCGGGACTACCCCAGGGTTCTGCAGTTTCACCAATGCTCTTCAGTGTGTATAGATTGCAGAAATGGAATCACCAGGTGCTGGAAGAATATTGACATTTGCTGATGATGTTCTTGCATATAGGCAGGGAAGTGATAGACAACGGATAGCCCAAGAGCTACAGGCAGTTGTAGACAAAGTGACTGACTGGTGTCCAGAAATTGGTGCTGTCATAAACTCAGAAAAAGCGGCTGTTTTGTGGTGCTCTCTGGACAATAGAATTGTAAGAGCTAATGTTCCAAACCTCAAAATTATCAACAATAACATTAAAAGAGAAAGCAAACTGAAGAACTTGAGTATCACTTTCGATAGAAGCCTGTCCTATAGAGATCACATGGAGGCAGTTGTGGTGAAATGCCAAAAAGGACTCAATGCCCTCAAGATTATGGCAACAATGGACATGGAACAAAGAATGTTGTTCCCAATGTTCCAGCATGTGATCGTGTCGGTGATAGATCATGAACTTGGCATGCTTACCATATCAAACAACTGATGAAACTGAAACGCATACAGAATGAAGCCAAGCGGAATATTCTGGGATGTACAAGAGATACCACGGTAGTATTATACGACAGATACTGGCTCTGTCTACTATTGCAGATAGGCTCAAAGTTCTGCAAGCAAAGTCATATCTCAGAGTAACTGCAGACAAGAAGCACCTCTTGCATGAAGTCCTGGGTAGATCTTGGGGTCACAGACTAAAAAGAGAAAGGTCTTGGGTGGCGTAAGCTGAAGACACAATCAGACATGTGTGCAGGCTTGATAAATGTGTACGAGGTGAGGAGTGTGTCAAAGTATCCGAGCAAGTTTAAGACTTGTGCAGGGTTATTATCACTTTAGGACGTGAGTTCAGGGACTGTCCAGCTAGCACCGCAGAATCAGAAGTTCAACAAATGGTTCATGACAATTCCTGCCCAAGTGATGTGATTATCTATACAGATGGCTCTGTGTTGAGGGGCAGACGAAATGCATGGGGGTTGATAGCAAAGGCGAATAAACGTCGCTAAGTGCAACAAAACCTGACAAATGATATCACGTCTAATTTGAAAATGAAGGTGAAGGCAGCTACTGCTGTCTTCCGCTGGCTTGAGAATTAGCTGCACACACATGCCGTGATTGTCACTGACTCACAGAGCATGCTGAGAAAAGTGGAGACAGGTATGCTCCGCGCAGAGTGACAAGCATCACTTCAGAAGTCTCGGTAGTTAGTATCCTTTAGATTTTCTCTCCAGGTGATGCCAGTGAGCTGGGAAATGAGCAGGCAGATAGATGGCCGGTTCTGCTCCTCTTGATGGTGAATTGATGCATGACAAGCTAGATGTTGTGAGTACCCTCTGGGAGCGAGTGAATAGTGCGAAAGCTCAGATAGATCATTACGGTCTGAGGATAATGGTACCGCGAGGAGTTACCAGGGGATCTGACCGGCGCTCAACACTCAAGGGAAGGGCGAGACGGATATACACTCAGACAGTTATTGGTGCCATCGGAATTGGAACTCTTCGTCTGCTGCTTAAGATGGGGGCGAAGGGCTTGTGGGGGTGTCCCGAGTGCTATGATGTCGAATCATTCAACATTCCTTCGGCTGTCGGTGAAGATGCTGAAGCTCTTCCTCTGTAGTCGCGAGATCGACACATGCCTAGTGTTCAGATTCCAACGCGGCGCTCAGGTTTCTTGAAAATGTTCACATTCCAGTTTGTTAGCATTTTGAAGCGTTTGAATTCCGAGGCACCACTGTACGAGAATTTAAGCATGTCGCTTCTAAAAATCAAGGTACACAGATTCTGACTGCGAATTCTAGTATTTTCCTTTCTCTCTTCTCTATTTCTAAGAATGTCAAGCAATACTCCTAAATTTGAATATATAAAACGAAAGCACTCCTACTTTGTCCCTGGCGGAGCCGGACTTTTTTCAAAAATAACCTTGTCTCCAAGGTCGACACAGCCTTGAGTGGGTGCAGTTCCGGAATTAAAGGCCGGCATGATGCTGAGCACATCACCCATCTTGTACCGATTGGTATATAAAATATAGTTCTAGCCCTATATGCTAGGCGTGGAAAAGGGTCATTACTGACTACTACTTTGAAAAAAAGTCAACGAAAAGGGTATGCAATTGGAATTTCGAAGTTAACATAGTAATCTGTTTAATTACTTACAAGCATTATTAATTATTATGACAAGAAGAGAACAAAAATACATCCCTGGCGGGATTCGAACCCGCGACCTCTGGATTAGAAGTCCAGCGCGCTATCCACTGCGCTACAGGGACATGGAAACTTATGTTATTAACGAAATACATGATTGCAATTTTAAATTTATATTAAAATATTTCGTAAATTCTACAATATAATTATGTTGCTTATGTGATTAAATATTTTTGTATTTATATATTTATGGTTTTTAATTTTTTCAAACATTTATAATATTATACATTATACAACTACACTAATTCTTTCTGGCTCTACGTATCAGGCGAATGCAGGGACAGTCACTCTTGCACCGACTTCCGTTTGTTGTGTTGTAAATTGGAGACGTTGACTAGAATTAGCAACTGTCCGTGTAAACATGACAGACAAGAAGAAAGGGAAACAACGTAGGAATGAAGAGGTTGCTTAAGTTACTATAAGTCTTGTAATTGGTACTTATCTGTTAATTGCTCCAATTGAGCTAACAACATTTATATTTAATTTTTTTTTTTTTTTGAAATGAAAAGAAAAATACATGGTGTGATTGCAGTGTACAAAACCTTTTGTTCCATAATAATAATAATAAATGGGAGTTGGCTCTCCTAAATTATCAAGGCTCCGAAAATACCTTTACAGGGCCTAAATGGTGTGTTAAATTAGGATTTCTTTCCGCTGATTAAACTAGGGGCGGGCGGCAAATCGGGATTAGTTCTGCCTTTGTAACATTTCGACCGTTTCATTTGCATGCATAACCCTTCAGTTGTTAGTGTTGTGTTTGGACTGTTATGACAAATTCTGCTAGCGGTGCCATAATTGAAATAATAATTGTAATACTCATTGCCCTAACCCTAAACCTAGGACCCAGGGGAGAAGTTAAACCTACGACCTAGGGGAGAAGTTAAACCTAGGACCCAGTGAATGAGTTAAACCACGGCCTTCTCTATTTATTTACAAAAATTAACACAGACCATACAACTGCAAATATGCATAAGAAGTAGATGAACAGCCAGAAGTTTCTACCAGAGTTTACAGCCAGTGTTCACGAAGCAGAGGACAATTTAAAAAAATTAACACAGACTGTACAACAGCAAATATGCATAAGAAGTAGATAAACAACCAGAAGTTTCTGCCAGAGTTTACAGCCTGTGTTCGCGAAGCAGAGGACAATTTACAAAAATTAACACAGACAGTACAACTGCAAATATGCACAGGAAGTGGATGAACAACCAGAAGTTTCTGCCAGAGTTTACAGCCAGTGTTCGTGAAGCAGAAGTCGATTCACAAAAATAATAATATTATTAGTGTACTTCTACAACATATAATTATACTGTTAGTCAACAATTAGTAAAGAGGCAAAGAGTGACTTGCTGTGAGAGGTTAGTCAGTTAAATATTGTTTTATGCACTTACCCAAAGCTCCAAAATATCTGTACACTATTTATCCACAGTGTTGTTGCACCATTTATGCACAGTCAGTATGAAAGCAATAGTTTTCTTTCAACACAAGATAGTTTGCACCTGACAACTTTCAATATTCTCAGATATGGCTTCTAAATTACCTGTTTGTATTTTCCACAAAAGTAAGATTTCTACATTCAAAGTAGAAAAAGAATAAACAGCCAGTTCCCAAAAATCCAAACTACTGACTAGAAAAGTGACACAAACATCACAACACAACTGTCTCCCGTGAATTAAAATTGCTGTAATCTAACAGCAAAGTTTGGAAATCTTGTATATCCACTTTACTTTTCATAATATTTATGGACAATATTAATAAAATAGACATAACACCAACAGATGTCGATAAACAGGAGGACTTCAATGAGCTGCTCTTTGCCGACGATCAATGCATATTTCACAGTGATAGTAAACAGCTGCAAGACCACATGAACCTACTACACGACAGTTGCCTCAAGCATCATATGAAGATCAATACTGAAAAGACAGAAGTCATGAGCATAAGTAGAGAGCAACAGACCATCGACATAAAGATTCTAGATCACAGCCTAAAACAAGTGCAAGAATTTAAATACCTGGGAAGTATCTTTACATCCAATGGTAAAATAGACAGAGAGATCGAAGCAAGAATCCAACAAGCCAACAATGTCGCATACCAGCTTGCCCCAATTTTAAAACACCCTGCTGTCCCAGCTGAGATAAAAAGACAAATTATAAATACAATCTTTATACCGACATTAGGTTATCAATGTCAGACTTGGACATTAACAAAAGAACATGAGAGAAGACTAACCACCTGTGAAATGAGATGTTTGAGAATGGCTGCGAATAAAACCAGAAGAGATCGAGTGAGAAACGATGTGATTACAAGAACTATTGGAACCATACCCATCGTTAAATTTATTGAGAAGCAAAGAATGAAATGGTTTGGTCACCTAATGAGAATGGAACCAACGATGCCAGCATCAAGAGCATACAACATGAAAATCGAAACAACAAGAGGCAGGGGAAGACCAAGAAGAAGATGGATTGAAGGAGTCACGGACAACTTGAGACTTCATAACATCACGGCATATGAAGCGACTGAGCGCGCCCTGGCTCGGTTGCCGATCATCTGATAGACTGCGACGCCTAGCGGCACAAGCAGATTTTGACAAAAGAAGAAGAAGTATATCCACTTCACAATATCCGCTCGTCTATTTGTAATACAAATATGTTTAGAACACAAGACTTTGTAAGCATATTAGTCAGACAATGCAACATGAAAATGCTTCCAGTAACCAATTTTCGAGGGGACTTAGCCAAAATGTACCATGATTTAGTCAGAAGGACCTATATACAGACGGACCTGGTTAAACCTAGGACCGTGATTTAGTCAGAAGGACCTATATACAGACGGACCTGGTTAAACCTAAGACCCAGGGGAGAAGTTAAACCTAGGACCAGGTGTCGAACTGATAAACTACCTGCCATGGTGATAATTGCATGATAATTTTTTCATTTTGCGAATTTATCGCCAGAAATTAATCCTTCTTTTGCCATGGTTTACTCATCGGAAAGGAGTCAGCAATTTACATATGACTGAGGCCCTGTATTTTCTTAGCCTCTATTATTTAGGACCTTTTTTTTTTAGGAGAGCTTAGGAGTTTAACTGTGCGCACTGCAGACACTTCTGAACATTTTGACATGCACTGATTGTGTATGTCTTACTGTTGCAGCATACAAAACATATTCTCTGTATCAGTCATGTCCTAGAAGTCCATTAAGTTACATGCTATGGAAGACTTCCACTGTTTTCTCTTTGTTAGTTTAACCCAGTTTTCAGAATATTTTTTTTTTTAACCTTTATTCTATTTTTGGGTGCGTTCTGCTGCTCTATTTACTAACTGCCTTTCTAATAATCTGTATAGGTGGACTGACACTAACACTGAAGTTAGGGGGTGCAGTTTAACTTAGAATATGGAGTCGCAGATTTTTCACTGACAGAGCTGAAACAGGGATGGTTGTTTATTAACTATGGGACAGCAGCACAAAATATTTGGCCAGCTGTCATTTTCAGTAGGTTGCATTAAATCATCGCATAAAAGCTTTATTGATTTAGTATAGGACTTTTTGGGAACTGATAGTTAATGTGGATAGGTTTTGGTTGAATGGCAGTGGCACTGTATGATTTCAGTGGGATACAAGAGAGTTTGAAATTCTTCTTTTATTGCCTCTTGGATTATATTTTCTGGTTGAACAGGGTTTATGCTGAGCCACATGTATGTTGGGCAGGAGCTTAGCTGTGGAGATTTAAGTGTTTGCTTATTAGTATGGTTTTGTGATACAGTGACCTCTCTAAGTTGCAAACCGTCCATTATTTACACAGTTTTGTGTGTATAGTTGAGTCTCTGGAAATGTGGGTATATAGAAGAATAGGTCATATTTCATGGAAACAAAACAATCATATAAATGATGAATGTGTGTCTCCACCATGACCAGACTGCAAGAACAACATGTGACAAGGGTTGTGGCCAGATCAGAGCATTGTGAAGGAATACAAAGAAGAATAAGAAAACAGCACGGAACGGGTGTCAGCCACTACACACTGTAGGATTTGCTGAGGAGGAGATCTCAGCACCTTTGACTGAATGGTTTATTATGCAGTGAGGATAATCTGTTGACTAACTAATTAAAAACAGTCAAATATAGAGGTTCTGAAGAGACTGTGAATGGAAAGAGGGTTACTGAAATAAATATATTTTAAATTACAAATTGAAAAAATAAAATGAAAAGACAATTGAAATATTTTGGTCTCATTAAAAGACACAATATTAATTAAAAAAACTAGAGGAAAAGGTTGAGAGCAAGAGGTTGACAATGTTAGAAGTGGGAGGACAACATCAAGAAAATAGATAAACAGCAGTCTGTATAGAACCAAGACAAGAAACAGAGCATGTTAGAGATCCATTGCAGTCAACCTTCATTGTGTGGACGGCACATGATTCAATAATGTGTATGGTATGTTGAATGTTGAATTAAGATTCGACATCACAACACCCCCATAAACGCTCCATCCACATTTTGAGCAGCAAGTGAAGAGTTAGAATTCCAATGATACCAGTGACTGTCTGATTGTATTTCCGTCTCGCCTTTCCCCTGAGTGTAACTCCTCGCTGTGTCATTCTCCTCAGGCCGTGATGATCTATCTGTGACTCGGCACTGTTCACTCGCTCCTAAAGAGCACTCACAACATCCAGCTTGTAATTCATCAGTTCACTACCAAGTAATGCTGAACCGGCCAGTCTATCTGCCTGCTCATTTCCCAACAAACCTGCATGCCCTAGAGAAAATATCCAAAGGGTCCTTTGAAGTAATGCTTGCCACTCTGCACGGAGCATGCCTGTCTCCACGTTTCTCAGCATGCTCTCTGAATCAATTACAGTGACGCCATGTGTGTACAGCTGATTCTGAAGCAAGTGGAAGGCAGCTGTGACTGCCTCCACCTCCATTCTAAAACTAGACGTTGTGATATCATATGCCAGGCTTTGTTGCACCAAGCAACGTCCATTCGCCTTCACTATGAACCCCCATGCACTTCATCTGACCCTCAACACAGAGCCATATGTATATACAATCACATCACATGGGCGGTAATTTTCATGAATCATTTGTTAAACTTCTGATTCTGCAGCACCAGCTGGGCAGTCCATGCAGTCACGTCCCAAAGTGATTAGAACCCTACACAAATCTGAAACCTGATTGGACACTTTGACCCCCTCCTCTCCTCGCCCAAAATTATCAAGCCTGCGCTCATGTCCAATTGTGTCTTCAGCTTGCACCATCCAAGACCTTTCCTCTTTTCAGTCTGTGACCCTTAGGTCTATCTAGGGCTTTATGCAGAAGGTTCCTCTTGTACTCTGAGATATGACTTTGCCTGCAGAACTTTGAGCCTATCTGCATAGTAGGCAGTGCAAGTATATATCGCATACATACTACCAGGATATCTCTTGTACATCCCAGAATTACCCCGATGGCTTCATTCTGTATGCATTCAAGTTTCATCAGCTGACTCTTTGATATGGTAAGCATACCAAGTCCATAATCTATCACCGACAGGATCACATGCTGGAACATTGTGAACAGCATTCTTTGTTCCATGTGCATTGAGAGTATTGAGTCCTTTTTGGCATTTCACCACAAATGACTCCGCATGATCGCTGAAGGACAGGCTTCTATCGAAAATGATACCAGGTACCTCAGTTAGCTTTCTCTTTTAATGTTACTGTTATTAATTTTGAGGCTTAACTGTGAGGTTTGGAACATTAGCTTTTACAATTTTCTTGTCCAGTAAGCACCACAAAACAGCTGCCTTTTCTGAGTTGATGACAGCACCCATTTCTGCACACCAGTCAATCACTTTGTCTACAGTTGTCTGTAGCTTGTGGGTTATCCGTAGCCTATATCTCCCCTGCCTGTATGCAGGAACATCATTGTCAAATGTCAATGTTCTTCCAACAACTGGTGATTCAAGTTCTGCTGACTTGCCTGTATACACATTGAAGAGCACTGGTGAAAAAGCAGAACCCTGGGGTAGTCCCAGGGTGATATTACATGGTTCTGAGGTCTATGTACCCTGGCGAAGGACAACTATACGTGAGTGCGGGACAGCTGCTATCCATTTCACAAACACGGACAAACCCTCCTCCATGAGTGCAGTTGTCAAAATATCATATTTGTCTCTACTGTAGGCATCCTCAAGATCAAGTGCTGCCACAACCGTCTCCTGTCTGTTCTAAAACCCCTCATAAACATCAACAGCAAAAGTAGCTGCATTTGACCATGTATCTTTTTGTAGCCGGTATCTATCCAAACCTTTTGGCTGGAGCTCTTCCCTTTCCAAAAACATTTGTAGTTTAACACCAATAATCTTTTCTAGCACCTTGCCAAAAGTATTCTGTAGGGTGATAATCTTGAAATTGCTGAGTCTGGAATGATCTTTGCCTGGTTTTGGAAGTGGAATTGGGTAGCTGTGTACCCAGTCCTGGGGTACTGAAGCTATTCTGATGCTCTGGTTGAAGTAAAAAGCCATCTCCCTCAAGTCTTCATCACTCATGCTCTTTATGTCTAAATGCCTGACTCTGCGCCGCGTCGTTTGCTTTTTGCAGTATATGTTTTATATCCTACATCCTAAGGATATCTTCAAAATAATTATCATTTATTGTATTATACAGATTATCTTTAACTGATTTTCTAAGCTGCCTATCATTAGGATGAGTTTGGGCTATAAATCTCTTTAAAAATGCTTCCTCTTTCTCTTTGTCTGTTGTCATTGGTATATCATTATCAGTGTATATAATGCCTGTTGTGATAAGCCAGTCCTTCCTTTGCATCTGTCTGGGAAGTTTCTAAAACCTACCTAGTGATCTATCCCCTCCAATTTCGCTCATAAATTGTTCCCATTTAGCCTTCTTAGCATCTGCTGCATACCGCTTGAAATAATCTTCTTTTTCTTTTCTAACTCTTTCAAGCCTCTCTACATCTTCTTGTAATGTGTGAGGTGCCTTTCACACTTTCTGTTATTTCTTAACTGCTGCTCGCTTTGCTCTCCATGCCTGTTCTACCTCTTGTGTCCACCGTGGAGGCTGCACAAATGCAGAGATGATAGTTCTGCTGTATACCTTCTGTCGAAGGCATCCAAGAAGGGTACTATCCCTCTCATACTTAAAAGTCTTGCATGTTCTCACATCCCTGATCTTGTTAGCTTTAGAAATCAAGACTGAGCATGGCATATGGTCACTCCCATGATCACCTAGGACACCATTTTGTGCACTGCTGACTGGGTGTGAATAATCTGTGTGCTACGGTAAGTGATAGCAGACATTATCTGCAGGAGATGGAGCATCTGTGGGTATGACCTGTGTGCAGTGGTGTCGATTCTTAAATCTGTAACAGAATTAAAATAATAATTGGTGCTTTTTTGTTTCATTCCAGGAAAAGCCAACAAAGGAGGAATATGCCATAGCCAAATATTTACGATTTAACTTGCCAGTTAGGGAAGGAAAGCTGCATGGAATGGAGGTGAAATGTTTTTTTGGTGAGTAAAGTCAATTTTTAATTATATATACTTATTTATTATATATTATTATTATTATATATGTATAGTTATTTTCTTAATGTTGAGTTTTTTGTGTGCTAATAGAATAGGTTATCGATGGTATAAATTGTTTTAATTTTAAAGATCTGATCACTTTAGGAAGTAGAAAATAGTACCATTATTATGCTGGGTGTAAAGGTTTGGTAGTAACAAGAAATGTTCAGTATATGCTTGCATGCACATATATGTAATCAACCAGTACCTTGATGGCTGCCTGGGCTGCATCTGGTTCCAACAGCATGTATCACAATTTGTGAGCTGTTACCATGATAAATAGCTCCAAGAATTGTCTGTCATTGCCTTCCTCTGTCTCTCTTTCTATATAGAGTTTCACTCTGAAGGAGTTGCATCTAATGATTACATGAGAGGGATCCACAGAAGCATTTTTATGTTGTGCTCTTGTGGTCACTACAGCCGTATACTCAGTGGGTTTTCAATTCTGATGGATACTCGCATCTTGTGCCCAAAACAATTGGAAATAGACAATTCTTTAAAACAGCACAATTAGTTCCCCAAGCGACATATTTAGATTTGACCTCTATCTTATCAGTGATAAAGTTTAAGGGTTTAGAGTCCAGTGTGGCACTTTGTACTTCAACAAATTCACCTGTGTACTGGTCTGATCTCATTATGTCTGGAAGACAGACATCTGAATAACTGAGACCGGTGTCATATAAATACAAGATTTCTGAACCATTGACCCACACATTTTCTACTACTGGTGACCTGTTGGAACAGTTACACAAACTTTCTGCAGTAGAATTCTTATTTGTAGATAAGCAAGCTGCCATGTGTGTTCCCACTGGTTGCTTCACTTTGCAATCATAAGTATGGTGAGCACTGTGCTTGCAATGCTTACAGTAAAAAAAATTTCCAATTTTGAAAAGGTTGTTTCATTTGTGAGCCATTAAACCTGGACTGGTTCTGGTTCTGAGTATGGGATGTGAACTTGTTATGAGACTCTTGGATTGAGGTTTTCTGACTAGCTTTACCATTTTCCCCGTAGCCGTATAACTTGGGTTTAACTACAGGAGCATCTAGGATGTCAGCCAATCTTTTTGCACCATTTTAGGTAAGGAAATTCTGCATCAGTTTCAGCATGGGGTTTTGGAGCTGTTCTATAAGAAACATCTCTTGTACATCCTCAAAGGAGGTTTCATACGCAGACATGTTCTGTTACCAAATTAGATATCCTTTAAGGTGACTGGCAAACTGAGGATAAGTTTCCCCATTCTGCTTTTGTTCATTCCTTAACTTCTGCCTGAATGTTGAGACATTTAGCTCACATCTTTCCAACAGTGTATGACACAGAGCTTCAAAGTCTGTCTAGGTACCTGTAGGCATGCATTGATAAATTTCATAAGCCTCATCTCTTAAACCTTGAGCTAACTTCAGAGCATACATTTCCTTTTCTAAATTATTTAAAGAAGCAAGTTTGGAGAAATGATCAATGTATTATTTGATAGGCTCAGCTCTCTAGTTGAACACTGGCATAGGAAAATTCATTTCTTGAGTTGAGATGTTACTCTGTCTGCTTGCAACTCTCCCTCACTTGAACTTCCTTGACCTTCTCCTTTTTTGAATCTCATATGTTCCATCGGCTGCTCCTTCTCTAGTATAAGACGTTCAGTCTCTTGTAGTCTCTCAGATTCTACTGTGAGTTGCTCTGATTCCAACTTGATCTTTCAGACCTCTTCTCAAATTCTATTCTGAGCCTTTCAGACTTCCGGGCTTCCATTCGCATTTCTCTCTCTGTAGTCTTTATCTAGTCTGTTGTTTCTTTTCCTTCCAGACCCATCTGAAGAGCCATATCCTTTAGTTCCTGTATAGATTTCTTGGACTGAGCTTGGACTGTTGTATGAGTCACAACATTATTAAAGAAAAAGTCCACCACCAAAAGTACCAATAAAACACCATAGTATAAAATTTAACAAGAAAGGTAACCACAAAAATAACCTGAACTTACAGCCAGCCTCTTTCCATGCCTTAAACCTACTAAGTTTTTATTGGGGTTTCAGTGTGTAATGATTTCAGTCAGACTCCAATTAAAAATTGATCCAGTTTCCTGGAGAAAAATTCCTACAGAAAATCTGACTGAAAAAAAAAAGACAAAACAAACCACTGGATCAACAAATCCTAACAAGAAAGATCTGATCAGATAAAGAACTGACCCAGAATGGTCACAAACACTGTGTTAACCAAGTCTAAAAACTGTGAACAATATCCTGGCCAAGAATACTAGCTACTCATAGACCGAAACAAATGAATCCCTAGACAAGGCCACAGTTTCATTGTCTGTCACAAGAGATGTTGTCACTTGTCCAAACTAGTGTCAGTCCTAATTATATAAGGTGTGCAAGAGACTGTGGAATTGCAAAGTGTGATGGTGGTTCGTATTGGTCTAGGCGGTAAACCTGCAGCTCCAGCAATAATCGAACACCACTTCACAGATGAGGTAACTCAATTGTGGGCACTAAAGAACTTCCAGGGCATAACATGTTTAGACGTCCTCACCCCTTTCAAAGCCCCCAGATTGTAAAGTATCACTATTCCAGTCAAACGCAGTACTGTGAAATTGATTGAATGTCCACCACACATAAAGAAACTAAATGAAATCAACCTTGACATACAAAATACCAACAAAGTCACTTTTAAAATAAAAATGCATCATGTAATCAGATTATATCAACATAAGAAATCTCAGTGACAGACAAAGGGAAAATACACAGAGAAATGAAAGACAAATAATGTCTCTGATAGTCAAGACTGTTCCCTGGACTGTGAAAGGTCACAAGTCAAGCTTATCATGGTAACTAAGTGATGTGAATGGAAAGGGTAAGCCTATGGCACAAACTTTCCTGATGGCTGTAACCTCAAGTACAAACATGTCTACTTAGCTGACAATCCCAGGCAAGACTTACATCTCTCCTCCTATAGTCACAAGGTAGAACTGTACTCATAATTTCTTCTGTTTCTTCTCTTCTTCTAATTTCTTGGGATAAAGTTTCAGAGAGTTATAAGGTTTCTTTTTCTTTTTAACAAAATTTTGGAGAAGGTCAGTTTTGAAGATTTTGTGGGTGAAATGGTTGGGTAAGTAGTCTTTTATTAGATCCACACACAATAAATGAGCTACTGTTTGCAGACAATCAGCGTCTGTTCTACAGTGAGGGGCATGGACTGTAAGAACATCTGAACAGGCTAAGTTCAGCGTGCAGAAGATATAACATGCAAATAAATACTACTAAAACTGAAGTCGTGCAGGTCAGCAGAATTCCTAGTCCACTACATATTGGGTTAAATGGTACTTGTCTGAAGCAAGTAAAAGAATTTAAATATCTAGGAGGTATATTCTTGGTGGATGGAGAATAGTTCAGGAAATAGAAACAAGATGCATATGAGCCAGTGCACTTATAAACCAAATGACACCGTTATTAAGACATCCAAGCATAAATATGGGCGCCAAGAAACATATTATATACAGTATATTCATACCAACAATGTGCTACCAGTGCCAGACTTTGATATTATCAAAGGCTAACCTACGTAAAATTAACACCTGTGAAATGAGATTTATCACAAAAGCCGCCAACTTAACTATCAGAGACAAAGTTAGCAATGCTATTATCAGACAATCTGTAGGGACAATACCATGCAGGAAATTCATTGTGAAACAACAGGTCAAATGGTTTGGTTATTTAGTAAGAATGCAGTCAGAACAACTAGAAGCGCAGGTGCTACACATAAAAAGATCTGAAATGAAAGCAAGAAGCCATTCTAGGAAATTATGGATTGATGACATTAAAGAACTTCTACATCAACACAGAATGACAGTAGCCATTGCTACAAGCAATAGATCACAAACTATTCCTCCCCACAACGCTTAATGGCAGAAGTAAAGTTTGATGATGCTGATGTAATAGTCTTGTAGTCAGTATTGAGCAGGTAATGTATTTTGTTACCCAGCCTGAGGATAATGTATTTTGTTACCCAAACTTGGGGTCATATATTTTGTTAAATAACCTGCACATCATATATTATGTTACTCAACCTGCAGGTAATGCTGCTGTAGACAAGTTGATGGAGTCCAAGTGGTCAGCAAGTAAGAACAAAAAAGACCCCTTGTTCACCAACAGACAGTCTTGTGTTGCCTACATGGTCAGGTCAGTAATGCATGCTACAGATGTTTCTTATGGGGAAGGTCTTCAGTTCACAACAAGCCAACAATCTCACACATCAACTGAACCCAGTTTTGAAACACCCGGCTATCCTAATAGAGATAAAAAGACAAATTCTAAAAGCAGTCTTCTTACCAACATTGTTCTATCAGTGTCAAACTTGGACAGTGACTAAAGAACATGAAAGAAAACTAATCACCTGCAAGATGAGATGTTTGAGAAAGGCTGTAAACAAAACTAGAAGAAATCATGTGAAAAATGAAGAAATTACAAAAACTATTAGAACAGCGCCTATAATGAAATTCATTGAAAAACAGACTGAAATTGTTCTGCTGTTTGAATCCAGTGATGCCACCAGTGAGAATGTACAACATGAAAGTTTAGTAGAGACACCAAGAAGTAGGTAAAGGACCAAGAAGAAGATAGATTAAGGACTTCAGCAACCTAGCTTGGAAACAAGATTTTTTGTTAATCAGTGACAAAGCAGAAAATGGACACACACACACACGCACGCACGCACGCACGCACGCACACACACACACCCACACCCACACACACACACACACAGTGTGTTTAAATCGTTTTTTAGAAAAATAAATTGTGTCTGAGTAGAATTTGCATGAGATGTGTCAGGTTTATTGAAGACAGATGGCTTTCTTAGTATATATTTGATGTGTGAATATGCCATGATGTACAGTACAGTTAGGTGTCAGACCAGAGTAGTTATTTTATACTTTCAATCAGGTTATTGGAGATGGAATTATTTCACCGAGCAGAGAGAGAACATAGGAAAAGAGACAAAGAGAAAGAAAAGCCAAAACGAAAAAAGAAAGACAAGGAGGGAGAGAAAGAAGAGCCAACACCACCAGAGGAAGAACTGAGGGTAGATATTTTTTTACTTATTTACAATTTAGTTTTTTGCAAAATGAAAATGTGTGATATGTTGACTTGATATTTGTCTCTAAATTTGTACATATACATTAGAACAGTTACTGAGCTTTCATTATAATGCTGATCGCAAAGATTTTTGTAATAGATCGGATAATTTATCTTCTTTTTCTGCCTTTCAAACCCCCAATAAAGCATAGGCCCTGAATCAATTCACGCCAGGTCATTCTATCCTTCACTATCACATGCAGCTCTCCTCATGTCCTCCCCATCTTTTTAACTTCACTGTCCAGCTCCCTTCTCCATGTGTTTTTTTACTCTTTTTTATTTGTATGCCCCTGTGGATTCCAGTGCAAACACATTCTAGTTATATTGTTTTAAGATTTTCTCAGCTTGTGTTCTGTTCAATGCCAAAATCTTTTCTTCACCTCTTGGTTCACTGGAACTTGTTTAGTTATCTCTCAGAGCTCTCTACATTAGTAATTCTATCATACCATTTAATTTCCTCTTTTCTGTGCAGGTGCCTTAGCTGTAATATCATGTGACAGTACTGATTAGATATTAGAAATAAACATAATTTGACCTCCACAAATTCCCCACTGCTATGAAAGCTCCTCTTGCCATTTTTATTCATATTTTAGTATCTCTTACAGTTCCCTCACCTTTGTCTATTTTACTGCCAGAATAGACATACTACTCAGGTCTTGGAGTGAGATACCATTAAGGGAGACCACATTACTATTTGTCTGATTTATTCTCATTATCTTTGTCTTTCCCTTTAAGTTATACACATGAATAAACAAAGTTTGTGCACACACTTGCCCATTGGTCTTGAGTTCAGATCCCCTGAAGACTAGAATTTTTTCAAAACTGACATTTATCTCAGACTGAGTTGAGTTGATTCAAGAACTGACATCACAGCACTCGGGGCATTCCCATAAGTGCTCTGTCCCCATCTTCAGCAGCCAGCGAAGAGTTGTGATACTAATGATGCCAGTAGCATTCTGATTAAACGTCCATCTTGTCTTTCCTCTGAGCCTCGAGCATCTGCCAGAACCTCTTGTCACTCCCCCTGCATCAATCTCACCAGACTGTGGTGATCCATCTGCTCTTCCGAACTGTACACGCTCTCCCACAAGGCACTAACCACATCTGCCTTATCATGCATCATTGTAACCCTTTGAAAATAAAGTTCGTTCGTTCGTTCAGTATTCCACCAAGTTGTGCAAAGCCAGCCAGTATATCCACCTATTCATTTCCCAACAGACCAGCGTTTCCTGGTTGAAAAATCCAGTCAATGCTCCTCACCCGTGTCCTCGGCAGCGAAGCATGCCACTCTGCACGTAGCATGCCCGTCCTAATTTTCCTCAGAATGCTTTCTGAGACAGTTACAATCATGATGTGTATGTGTGTCGTGTTCTCTAACCAGCGGAAAGCTGCAGTGACCGCCTTCACCTCCATTCTTAAGCTGGATGTTGTGGTATCATATGCTAGGCTCTCCTGCACCAAACATCGGCCATTAACTTTTGATAAGACTGAGATAAAGAGAGATTTTTCATTGTCTAGCTATGTGAGAATTCACTAAATAAACAGTCCTCTCTATGATTTTTGACATTGTGATGCTTCCTGTTAATTGTTACTAATGCATCAAAGCTTGAAGATAAGGTACTTTCACTAGGAAGTAACTCACATATTACATTTTATAGGAAGTGATCATTCTGCAGCTAACATCTTTATTTGAGGGTGTGGAATGAATGAATGAATCAAACAAACAAGAATTGACATCACTGCACACGGAACATTCCTGTACTTGCACCATGCCCTTCTTCAATAGCCAACAAACTCTTTTTCTTTTTTTTTTCTTCTTCTCTTCCACCTTGTACCTCAGTGAAGTGTCAACATTCTAATAGTACCTGTCGCAACATTGTTAAATGTCCACCTATGTTGAATATCTTCCAAAACCTCTACTCACTCCCCATGGAATTAGTCTTTTGTTATATGGTTCTCTGGTCTGTTGCACTACCTATTGGTTTCCAGAGGAGCAGCAGCAGATGATCTCTCAGACTGCTCATTATCTCCCACACCTGAAAATCCTGGACAGAAAATCTGTCATATGCTCCTGATCTGAGTCTTATCAAGTGATGCCACCATTCTTCACGCAGGACGCCAGGTTTGATTTTCTGAACCATGCTCTATAAGGCCGTTATAATTACTTGTCAGGCCACCGGAATGTTGTTGTTACTGCCTCCACCTCCATACTGGATGTAGTGACTTTGTACTTGAGGCTGTTTTCTAACAGTGTCCTCACACCTTTGCAATAAAACCACACACACTCTTCCTGCCTCTCACTATAGATCCACATGTATATATAAGTCCCAAACCATACTCCATCACCAGAATAATAAGTTGCTGTAGAATGTATAAAGCCTTTTCTGATCCATGTCCGCTGATGCCATCACTTTCAATGCATTTGAGGTTTTGAACAATGGATCAACATCATGGCACATGGGTGTTACCCATGAGTGCTCTGTACTTCTTCTAACTCAAGCTCAGCACAGTGCACAGGCACTGTAGCACCAGTGAGGATTCTGAAATAACTTTTGGGTAGATTTTAAACTTCAAATTTTGCCCAGGCAGCGCCGTTAGACTACTCTTTTAGATTTCCAACTGCCAACAGATTTTTTATGTTCGCAACAATGCACACGCGCGTCCAATCTCACTACCCAGAGACCAGAGGGAATTACTAGAAATCCAAGTCCACTTTCAGTGCATTGAAGGACTGGACCATTGTTTAAATTCCCCAGTCCTACAAAAAACGTACTTTTATTTCAGAGGTGTAACTGGCATAGGTTACTCGACATTTGTGTGTTGCTTGTTCCCAATTTCCTAGAGTATGATAAGTAGCCATGTCTCCTTGATTTATCCCCAAACATTGATTGACGTGAAGCAGCCTAGTCTGTGTCTAGGTTTTCTGAAGCCATAATGGTAGGAGCACATACTGTTCAGTTATATGGGTTTCTTACCTCAGGAAATCTTAAGATGAGATTGCTTCCAACCAGTATGACTCCATAGTTGACCATGCCGAGGCAAATAGTTAGGTGTGGATTTCCTTAGAGGGAGTTGTGGCAAAGAAAGAAAATAGTCACTCACCTCATTATGAAGTGACAGAGCTATGCAATAATACTTGACACCTCTGTTATAAGATCTACTATTGGATAAGCTGTGTGCCCTTCATGTTTGTACCAGGAAAGGAAAGTGAAAAAGGACAAGAAAGTGAAAAAAGATAAAGATGGGGAAACACCTGCTGACGAACAGACAGACAAGAAGGGAGAAACAGAGAAAAAAGTGGAGAAAAAGGTATGTACTTGATTTATTTTAAAGACACAAAACTCATGCAATGATTTTCTTATGCATTAGCATGTGTACACAACTACAGAGGTGGGGGGGGGGGGGGGAACCAGATCTCTTCACCTACACCAGGGCTGGGTACACATACAATCTTAACATTTATCATTTTAATGTATTGTTTGTCTCTCTAGGTGTCCCTAATTTTCACGTTAAGGATTTTAAACACTTTCTCAGTTGTGGAATGTTTTAACTTTTTTCTCTTCTTCTTTCTTCATCCTCATGTTGTTTTGCATTCTGTTCACATTTGTTCTATTTATCTTTGTTTGGTTTTGCCTCTCTGTGTCATCTCAAATACAGACATCAGTCAGCTTGGTGTTTGCTTCTTTCAAAGCAGAAGAGTCTCCTAACCAAAACATACACCATATCCCCCACCACACCCACTCCCACACACACATGCGCACACATACTCCACCCACACATACACACAACCCCCCCCCCCCCCCCCTTTCCCCCCCTCCCTGCGCTTATAATTTATGAAGGTGACCTCTTGCTAACTGCAGTTCTAGAGTCCTCTGAGGAACCATGTTTTATTTATTGTATTATATGTTTTAACCATCTCAGCTGCTTCGTTTTATTTCAGTCAGAATTGCTGTTGTCCCCAGTTGCCACTGAAAGCCATTTTTTAAAATGTATTTGTATTTGTATTTTAATTTAGTGAGAAATTATCTAGAAGCTGCTGAATTGTAGTTTTATGAGAACGGCTTAGAGGGATAGACAATGTATTGGAGATGTCTTGACTGAAATCAGCTCACATAGAGAACTGGTTACTCACATCACAAGTGGACAGTCTACGTGTGTCATAAGGAAAACTGGATTACATCATTGCAGCAGGAAAGATAGAGGGGATTTTAAACAATTCAGCATCATGGCATGGAGCGATAGATATCTATATTAAACATTACTGACAGAGATGATGACAAATGCCACATGTATGCACTTGCAAGATGAATAAAAGCTGTCATGTGCTGAACAAAACCTAGTAAACAAGAGGTATAAATATTTGTTTACATTTAGATTAATTTGCATTTAGCCCAGTTTTATTTTCTTTTTTCAGGATGATAAAAAGAAAAAAGAGAAAAGGTTAAAGCTAGTCATGCCGGAACAGCAGTTTTTTGAGGATGGAGATGAGGTGTGGCCATTGTTTCTCTTCTTGATTGTAAACTGTTAAAATGACAGACAAGAGCAATTATTTCAAGCATTCAGTTTATTTAAATTTAATTTGATTATTATTTTAGGGCTGAGGTATATGATCTCTTATAACTGGAAATATGCTTTGTTTGAATTAATAAATAAAGAAATTCATGCTAGTGGAATGAAAGCTTAGCTTTTTTGGAGAATATAAACAATAGTGGGGTTTGCAGGTCATGCTGTGGACATGAAAGATCTTTTGGCAATTGTAGATCATATGGACGGTAACTGCCCAGGCAACAATTCACACATGACAAATCTTACACAGTTACTATAACAGGTAACGGGTGGGAAAAGAGGGAAGGGGTTGGCAGGTTCATATTTTTATCTCTGTTCATTTAAAAGGTCGGCTCTGTGGCTAAGTCGATGCTAACGCTTCGTAATGCAGGGATGCCGGGTTCGATCCCAGCTGCAGGCCATGCACCTTGTGTTGGTTTCGACAGTGGTATCAAGAAAGCCGACCGTCCAGAAAGCAATGGCAAACTACTGGACGTAAATTTGTCTAGAAAACCACACAACAGCCAGGTCTTCAATTCCTATGTTCTCTCTCTGCTCGGTTAATAATTCCATCTCCAACAGGGGCTGTTAGGGTTGGTTCTGTAAAGGATACGCAACTAACCTATTTAAAAGATGGAAACATTTGATTACAGGACCAACTTTCTGTAGGTACAAATTTATCAGTCAATTTTATCAGGTGATGTGACAGACAAAACTAAAACAGAAACCAGAAACAACATGTCAAATAGATTTTCACACATGCAAGCTAAAAAAAAAAAAAAAAAACTTGCGCCTGCTGGATTCATTAGGAAGCATAAGAAGAAGAAACTTAAGACAGACATTTATCTAGAGCCTGGCCAGTTCATTTTAAGAGTCAAATACTCACGGTCCAGCACATTGTGAACTAAGAATAGTAATTAAATAACTATACAGTAGGTTATACAAGAAGCCATGGCTAGAATCATCAGATGATTGACAATTATCCCTGAAAAATTGTACCCTTGAATATGGTACAATATTGTGAGACATATAAGGAATAAATTCAGAGGTTGAGATATTTGCAAAGATGTCATAGTTTGTGTGAACATTGTGCTTACACACAGTGTCATCATCATGAGTACAATTAAAAATGTCTGCATTACTAAGTTACAGATTGTGCTGACATCGTTTTTATGAATGATCATATTTTGTATATGTCTGTGAACTGTAACCAAAAACATCAGCGGGTTGAGTACTCAAGAGACATAATCAAAACAGGAATTTTTGGCCCCAGAACAAGTGTGAGTTCTCAACCATCCACCCTGTTCCCCAGATTTGTCTCCCTGTGATTATTTTTTATTATCAAAATTAAAGTTACCATTAAAAGGACACTTCTTTGATGATATTGATGACATCTAAAGGGCGTAACATCGACTTTAAGGGCCATAGTAACAGAAGAACTACAGAGGTTGTTCCAGTGTTTGTTAGATCGTGCTACTCACTGTACCAATGCAAAAGCGTACTTTACATAAAATACAGGTTATATCTTCAGCTGTTGATTATTTAAATTTTTATGGAATTAGTCTCAGTACTTAATTGTCGATATTTGTTAATTATTGTTCTTAAAATAACTGTTTATATGTTCTTGACAGATCTATGTTTGGATATATGATCCAGTGAATGCAAAAACCTTTCTCATTGGTCTTCTGATGGGTGAGTTTTGAAGCATTTCCAATAAATGTGTTACCAGTATTTGATTGATGTCCGGCATCTGTTGACACAGATAAATGTTGCCCTTCCAGAATGTGGCTCATCTTGAGTGCGTATTGGCCCTGTAATATAGAATTAAATAGAAACTAAATGTATAATTTAATTTTTTTTTTTTTTTTTTTAATTAAAATATCCTGCACATGTTTTTTTGTTTTTTTTTTAAATCTTGAAGTACAAATGACAAGTAATAATAAAATGTGTTTAATATTCTGTTTAAATTCAAGAGCAGGAGAGCGACTTGTCCTGAAAGTTCTCCAGGCAGCCTGGTGTAGTAAAACTGTATCAAAAGACTGAGAGATGACCATCATTATACTTACATTTAAAAATGGTGATAACAGAAAATGTGAAAACCACAGAGGCATATCTCTCCTCAACGTTCCTGGTAAAAATGTAGAATTATGTAGCAGAGACTGAAAAGTCTGGCAGTATCATAGCTGAATCAGTGTGCATCTTCAAAGCAAACTGAAGTACTCTCATAACCTTATCTTCACACTTAGACAGATGGGTGAAAAGCCCTTGAATGTAAGAATTAGATGCTTATATGTTTTTTATGATCTAGAAAAGGCATTTGATAAGGTTTCCTTGAGCAGCTTCTGGGACTGCTTGGCAGAGAAAAACATTCCAGCACCCCTGATCAGTGGAATATAGAGTCTCTACAGAAGCTGCAGAAATGATTTAAGAACCATGATGTGTCTTTTAAAGGTGTTTTTTTTCAGGAATTAGCCCACAAAAATGTAAAATACAAGATCTTGACAATGTTTATTCTAGTCACTAGATGAAAGAGTCAATAATATGAAGATGAATGCTGCAAGAAAAGTGACGATCAGTGCTAAAAATATCCAGAATACAAATAAAGTCATGTTAAAAGGTTAAAGTCGAGAATATCGACTTTATTGCACATGGTTTTATTGCATATGGCTCTCTCCCTCTTCACAGAATGGCTAGCCACCTCCCGAGAGCATTGTACAAAGCACAAACTCTGCAGCTGTGGCAATGATCCACAAGGATCTTTGTAAAAATTGCGCTCATGAACTGAATGTCCCTGCCATCAAATGGACCCAAGACCTTCAGAGCAGAGCAAACATTTACCACTTCGCCACCCAAAATTCAAATTTTGTCAACTTCGTCAATAGTGTAACATGCAGAAGTTTGGGTGAATGAGATAATCATCACAAGTGAAAAGTTGGAAGCAACATAACAGATGTACAAAACGACATATACTAACGGAATTGAACCGCTGAGACAAGGCAACAAATTTGGCAGCATGGAAAGCTTGGCAGAATGGATAAATTTGGCAGCATAATTAACTCCTTGGTGAAAGAGATACATACACACATACAGTGTATATCTGTGTATAGGATAAGTCTTTTTCCTCCCAATCCTTGAGTCATAGTACTGTATGTGTTTGAATGATGGCCTTTTTTGTTTAAAGTATTTGGAGCCATTGCACTATTTTATATGTTTCCATTATGGCATGTTTTTCTGTGTGCAGTACTTGGAGCCATTGCACTGTGTATGTTTCCATTGTGGCCTGAGGAAGTGAGAATAGGGGTTTACTACCTCAGCATTGCCCTGGCAGGTTTTGTGGGATTCATTTTGTCCTTGGTTGTAGGTAAGTAATCCAGGGCACAGTATGTCACTGTGGTTTTGTTTTATTGATAAAGGCTCAGTAATTGTGAAGGATTAAATGGTATGGTTGTCTTCCTTGAAAATGGGACTAAATATTCTGATAAAGTGACATCAAAAATATCCCAGTCAGTTGCAACATTTCAGGCATTGAGGGAGCGGATTGACTGGCAAAACTCATCAGATCTCTTTAAGAAGAAAAGATCAGATAATCATTTATCACTTGTAGACAGGACAGAACAGACTGACATTTGTTTGGTCATATATCATACTCAAGATTGGATTGTCACATCTCTCTGTGTATTTGTGGCAATAATCTCATGAAAGTAAACAAATGGGCTTCAGTCAACTTCCTTCCATCAAACACTGTATGGGAATGTCTTCTTTTTATAGTGGATCCACTGTTATTTTGGTAGTCATGGATGTCCACAACCTTCTTCTCATGTACGAGGGAAAGTTAGTAAGTCACAAATAGTTGTTACAAAAAAACCACCCCCACCCCCCCTAAAAAAAAAAAAAAAAAAACTAAAGACGATAACAACTTGAAAACTCTTTATTTTTACACACACACTATCCCTTTTTTCCCTACATAATTTTCACCAATATTGATGCACTTGTCCCATAATTTTATCAGTCTTTGTAAACCTGCTGCATAGAACAGCGTGCTGTTTTATAAACCACATTTTCACTTCATATTCAACTTCTGCGTCATTCGCGAAATGTCTCCCACCAATGTGGGTTTTCAATGGACCAAAAATTTCAGTCAGTCCTGTATTATGTTATATGCTGAACCTTATGAGCACCCTATTGCAGCTGCTACAGAGTCAGCCATTATTTGCCTGTCACCTCTAATCATTTCCTCCACCTGCTGCACAGATGCGTCTGTTACAGTCTCAACGACAGGACAGCCAGATCAGACTTCATCAATAATGTTAGAGCGTCCGGGATAATGTTTTTTTTTTTTTACTTTTTACCTAGCTACGCACTGCTTTAAGGGATAAACATCTGTCAGCATAAACAGGAAGTATTTCCTTATGGATGTCCTTTGCAAGCAGCCTTTTGTCACACCCCTCCCCCCTCCTCCTCCAATGCACAACAGCTGGTTCTTTGAGGATACGTTCCATAAATACAGTTGCCATAATGTTTCTGTGTTTCAAATGTGCATGCAACACCTAGCGCCACCTAGCGGAGACATACATTTTGATGTTGCTGTTAGCTAATGACACCTTTATAAACCACCAACTGCATTTTCCTGCCATTCTGTAACCATTTGTGACTTACTTATTGACTTCTCCTTCTACTTTCAATCAGCTCTGACACAGATGATCATCAGTGCCATGATGTTAAACTGCCCAGCATTTTCTCTCTTTACTACTGCTTTTATTGAAATAATAATCTGAGTATTGATGGCAGAATTCTGTATATAGCATCTTTCCCAGCTTGTTATAAACAGTATTAAATGACAGCATGTTCACATAATGTCTTCATTTATCATTTTGTTTGTGTCATTCTTCAGTATGTGAATGCCAAGCCATAACTATAAATGATATCATTGGATTGGAGTATTATTTTTACAAACCACTTGTATTTCATTTTTTGTTTTTGTTTTGTTTGTTTTAGTTTTTGGTAAAATAACTGAAAACTTTCTTTAAGAGTGAGCCTTTGTTCAATGTAAAATGCTTTGATAAATTTATTATGCTATTGTATGCAACTGCTTCCAATGCGAGAGTGCATATTTGATACTTATTAATTATTGTTAAGCAATATTTGGCTTTTTCTTTCCCAGTTCGTCTCATCTTGTTTTGTTTAATTTGGACCCTGACATTTGGCAAGCATCACTTCTGGTTTCTGCCCAATTTAACAGAAGATGTTGGATTTTTCGATTCATTCCGCCCACTGTACAAGCATGATTCGTTTAGTAAGTCTAATGAGTCAAAAGTCAGTGAGGGTGGCAAGAAGAAGAAAAAACCAGACAAGGATGCAGAAGAGAAACTAGGTGAGTGTCCTAGATCACCTACCTATAGTTAATGATTTGATTTGATTTGATTCAAGAACCGACATTGCAGCACTCAGGGTATTCCCATAAGCGCTCCATTTAGCAGCCAGCGAAGAGTTGCGATACTAATGATGCCAGTAGCATTTTGATTAAACGTCCATCTTGCTTTTCCTCTGAGCCTCGAGCATCTGCCAGAACCTCTCGTCACTCGCCGCTGCATCAATCTCACCAGACTGTGGTGATCCATCTGCTCCTCCGAACTGTACATGCTCTCCCACAAGGCACTAACAACGTCTGCCTTATTATGTATCAGTATTCCACCAAGTTGTGCCTATAGTTAATGTGTTGTGTTAATGCACACCACACATAGTTTGAACCCTTTTGCTGCTATGTGCTCAAGTTGCATGCTGATGGTCCTTTTCCCTGTGCTGAATACTTTTTTATTCTCTAAACGAAAAAGATGCATCAGCGGTGCGGTTATATTTTTTACATCTAAAAATATTCACCCTAGGGGGAGTGGGTGGTTGGCCCCAGTGCTGACAAGTGAGGCACACTATAGCGATGCCAGAAAACCTCACCTTTACAGAAAGGAAACACTAGAAACTTGATTTAATTGCTTGGTTTCACTAGGGAAAGTGAAAGAAAATTATCCTCTGTTAGGTCTACTTGATCGTTGTCTTTACCGCTGTCGTATATGTAGTAGTAGTAGAAACTCCACGGAGAAGCGAGCACAACAGTAACCTTTTGTCAGAAGGAACATTCTTTGAATGTTTCGGCCCCTTTACCTTCCTTATAGGATGATAGTGCAAGACAATTTTTATTCTTCAGTTTTCTACTTCGTCGTCGTCTTCTTGGTTGCCATATATACCATTTCACTTTAAACTGGATATTTTTGAAATCAAACTGGACATTTTTCAAATCATACAGGTCATTTTTCAAATCAAACCGGATGATTTTCAAACCATCCATGATGTTTTTCAGATCAAACTGGACATTTTTCAAATCACACAGGATGTTTTTTAAATCAAACTGGACGATTTTCAAATTAAATAGGACGTGTCACAGCAAACTGGACAGTTTGATTTCAACAATTAATACTTCTTAACAAAGAAAATCACATCTCACAAGATGAAAGGCTGTTGTGCTGCTGCTGTAGTTGATTTCTTCATTGCATGGACGTAAGTTGTGCAGCCTTGCTGTGTTACTGTTCCAATGCTTTCTTCATTGGCCTTGCTTAGTGTCTGGTCCTGTTTCCCTGATGCCTTTTTCTTGGAGAACAGATTTTCTGTCGGGTTTAGCATGTAGGAGTAAGGTGACAGGACGAGCAAGGATTCTCCATAGATCATCTGGTTTGGGAAATCTGGCTTTGTCCATTATCAGCCATGCATCGTTCAGCTCCTACCTGCCAGGATTATGTTTGATCGTGTCCCTGTCCTCAAGCGAGCCTGTGTTCATCGTAAATGAAGATTTAATCTAGACTCATCAATGAAGATGCACTTCTCCTTGTCTTGTGCAGCATGTGCTGAAAAGTCAAAATCATGAGCTTAAAATTGTTGTGATGCTGTTGACGCGGTCAAGTTCATAATGGCACTTTAGGGTGATCTTAAGTTTTTTGAGGCCATTGAAAATTGAAGATTTAGCCAAATCAGTCCCGTTCTCCTTCATTGACTGCTGTATCTGCACCAAAGTATCATCTGGATGTTTTCAAGGATGTTTTCAATGCGCTGCAAGACATTGGGTATCAGCTTTTCTTTGTTGTTTCCACCGCAGTTTCCCTGGAAAACAGCACCTTCTCGTTTGTAGGCACTGATGATGTTTCTTGCTGTGCTTTTGTTGATACCAGCGACTTGTGCAGCTTTGTGGGTAGTTTTTCCATCCACTAACACAAGCTTAATAAGAACCTTTTTTATGTGCTAAAGAAGTTCGATTACACCATCGTTGCCTCAGATAGCGTCATTGTGAAGTTGGTTGCTAATTTTTGGGTGCTTCACTAAGTTTATAGCACTGTACAATAAACGCATAAAAAATGCATTCCTCTATTTATAGATATTGCAAAAGAACATTCCATAAAGAATTATGTAATGTGTGTTCCAGAACATCTCAAAAGTTCCAGCAAATCCTTGAATTTAGGCCTTAAAAAACTGTTCTTTAATTTTGTCCAGTTTGGTTTCAAAGATGTCCTGTTTGGTTTGAAAAACGTCCTAAGTGGTTTAAAAATCATCCAGTTTGATTCCTAAAATGTCGTAGATGGTTTGAAAAGTCTCCAGTTTAAAGTGAAAATAGTATATTTAGTCTTTGCCCTGAGTGCATCTGAGGCTTTTACCATCCCATAGCCTGTTCCACCCCCTCCCCACAAACTTGACTGATGAAGCTACTGTTCCTCAACCCTGGGAGACAGGGACTAATTGAAGAACCGGTCTAGAAGGATCCTAGCACACAACCCCAGGCCGTGACTGAGAGTTACAGTTGGCAGTCCCCACCCCCTACATTTTATTGATAAATCTACCACGGCTCCAACTTTAATCATGAATAATCATAGTCACCACGTTATTACTACTTGAAAAGAAAAAAATACTCGGCTGATCCACCGCTGAAAGTGCTAAGAAATGAAACTCCATATTTACACTTAAGTCATGGAAGGGTTGAATGCAGGACCTTTCGATTGAAAGGTGATGTGATACTTATACAATATAATTTCATATAACAAACAATAACTGAAAATAAGACCAGAATTGTACAGTATAATTGTACAGCACTGTCTGTTATATAGTATAGAAGAAAATTAATGCTTATTGTCATGTCAGTATGTGACCATATCCTTTTTTTGGTCATTGAGAATCCATTTCAGATCCAGTGGATGTTGGTGGCTAGGTCAGATGGTCTTGTTCACATCCAGAAGTACACATATCCGCTGGTGTGCCGTGAAGATAAACAACTCATAACTCAACACATTCCAAAGTGATCCTTAGTTGAAAGTGTAACTTAGCTGTTCTCCATGTTTCTGCTCCATACTGATTTGACATTGGAATTAAAAATTCCTTGAAAAGAACTCTATTCAACTTTAATTTACAAGTTTTCTTGCCATTTTGTATGGACTGATTCTGTTATAGATGTAGTTATTGTAAAGGTTATACACTTACATTAAGTTACATTGAAACCTAAGCTAGTGGAATAAACGTGTAACTAACTACATATTTAAAATAGTTATGTGTAAAGTAAAAGCCTTTCAGGATATTTTATTTAGTGGATTAAAAAGCTGAACAGAATACTTGGCCATACACTTCTCATGACAGGAACTAAAACCAGCTGTTTTCTGGTCCAAAATGGAGGATAGGCACCGCAGAATGTTTAGCTTTATAGTTATTTTTACTTCCGACAGCACTTTGCTAATGCATTTTCCACATGTGCACATAAGACTGTGGTTTCACTGTCTGAGCTACTGAGTTTAGTGCTTGGTGCCCTGTGAGCTGTTTTTCGTGTGAAATACCTGTGCAACGGTTGTGTCATGGTATTCAGAGTGACCGGTAGTCGGTTTACGTGTGGGATTATGAAATACCCTGTGTAATAATTTTACATGTAAAGCCATCTTTTTGTGACCGAGTACTTCCATTAACGATAAAATGCATTTCTGGTATTGACTGTTGGCTTTGGTGCCTCTAGCAACTGCCATATGCATTTACTGTGTGCACATATTTCTAGATTGCGCTGCGACAGTTGTTTATTCACCAATTTTTTTCAGTGTTATAGTGAGGAACATTTCATTTGATTTCCACTGGCACAGGAAGCAAGTAATTAATGATCCGATTGTAGTGAAGTTGAAACCTCGACTAAGACCAAGACCTGTTGTGATATCCTCATCTTGGTAGACATTTTCTGTCTTCATTATTTACTGTGGTTGTTTAGTGGCTAGAAGCTTGCCTGCTCAGCTATCAGTATTGGGTTCACACTGACATTCTGGCCAGTTTTTATCCAAATGATTTTGGTGTAGATTGAACCAGACTAAATTGAAAACCAGGTAATGTTCTGGGAAGTAAAGGCAGCCAGCATAATGTTGACTGCAACCTCCATCACATACTGGCCTGTACAAAAATATAGGTCTTTACAATTACTCATTTATGTTGGCAGGTTGTATATTTCTATGTCTTGCTTCTATTTTCAGACACCAAAGGGAAGAAAGAGAAAACCAGTGACAAGGATGATTCTGATGAATTTGAATTAATTAAAAAAGAAGATCTGGACCAGAATGGAGTTAAAGACGATCAAGAATTTGATGATAATGTAGAAGAGGCAGATGATGATAATGATGGAAATGGAGATGATTATGATGACAATGAAGCAGAAGAAGATGAAGGTGATGAAGATGACATCAATGAAGCGACTGAGAGGGGAGAGGAAGAGAACAGTTCACAGGCAAATAAAAACAGAAGGAATAAGAAACATAAGAAAAAATAATAACCTAGTTGTATTTCAGTGTTGAGCTATGACCAGAAGACTGTTGACTGAATAATGAGTATTCAGTGTAACTAGAAATTAGACTGAAATTTACTATGATCAGTCTAATTTACATATGAATATTGTCAGTTTTCAGAGAAATTTTCAAGTACATCCTAATTTGACATCAGTGATATCTTGTCACATTTGACTCTGGTCACTGGTCATTTCTTGAGTCTGTGCCTCATGTATACATTGACCATGGGCCTGGTGGTCAGTTCTGTATTACCATTTTTTTTAAATAAATGCTCTGGGTCAAAATTGTTCTGGGTAAATGATGTAAACTGCCACACTATAATCTGGCTTTGAGGTAGCTGATTGCTTTCTGCAAAGATAGTGGTAAAAGATATCTCTACACAGGTATCCACATCAGTCTGATTGTCTCTTTACCTTGTACTGATTGTTTCCTGAGTTTTACATGGTACTTCTTTTATGCACTTCAGTCTTCTTGAGATTTTTAGATAACATGTTATTTGAAGCTGTTGTCTTAACACTGCTCTTTCTTTTTTTGCTTACAATTTTTAACTTGATTTGACGGTGCTTTGCAAGCTGAATTCATTGACTGGGTTAAAGGAGCATTGTTACCACACTATAAAACCATTTATTAGATCTGCTGTGTGTAATCATACGCCAGCTTAGTACGTAAACTCCATAATGTGGGAAAGAATTCAAAAATGTGTATGCCATAATTTACACACTATACCTAGTCAGCTGTAAACAGGTTTTCCAATTTTGAAAATATGCCAGAAATGGGGCCAGACATTTTGCTTATTCCAGTCTCAGTGTGCAGAATTTGTAACATGCAGGCTGGAGTGGGACATCAGGCATGGCATTCCCTGTAGATTCAGAACCTGGCATAGGACACAATGTAGTTTCATAGTGTGGCAATGGACACAATGTAATTTCACAGTGTGGCATTGGACACAATGTAATGTCACAGTGTGGCATTGGACACAATGTAGTGTCACAGTGTGGCATTGGACACAATGTAGTGTCACAGTGTGGCATTGGACACAATGTAGTGTCACAGTGTGGCATTGGACACAATGTAGTGTGACATTGGACACAATGTAGTGTCACAGTGTGGCATAGGACTCTCTGTTGTTGTATATATAGTCTGGCAATGGATCTCTTGTAGTATCACAGTCTAACAGAAGACCCCTTGTAGCTTCAGTCTGGCATGTAGCTCCATTTCAGTTTCACAGTTTGGTATGGTACCTTCTATAGTTTCCAATGATTTGATTTGATTTGATTCAAGAACCGACATCACAGCACTTGGGGCATTACCATAAGGGCTCCTTCCCTATCTTCAGCAGCCAGTGAAGAGTTCCGATACTAATGGTGCCAGTAGCATTCTGATTAAATGTCCGTCTTGCCTTTCCTCTGAGCCTCAAGCATCTGCCAGAACCTCTCGTCACTCCCACCTGCATCAATCTCACCAGACTATGGTGATCCTTCTGCTCCTCCGAACTGTACACGCTCTCCCACAAGGCAATAACCACGTCTGCCTTATCATGTATCAGTATTCCACCAAGTTGTGCAGAGCCAGCCAGTCTGTCCGCCTGTTTCCCAACACACGATGATAAAATCCAGACATTACTCCTCACCCGTGTCCTCCGCAGCGAAGCATGCCTGTTCTGATCTTCCTCAGCATGCATTCTGAGTCAGTTACAATCATGATGAGTGTGTGTGTGTCGTGTTCTCTAGCCAGCAGAAAGCTGCAGTGACCGCCTCCACCTCTATTCTTAAGCTGGATGTTGTGGTATCATATGCTAGGCTTTCCTGCACCAAACGTACTATAGTTTCCAATCTGATGTGGTAGTTGTCCTATCCACTTTGCTCTGAGATCAAACAGCAGAGCATGATATCGTGGGTTCCTGTGGAAGAAAAATTGTCCTTAGCTATATGGGAACCTGCCACTCTCAGAGGCAGAGAGATCCCAAGAGCGATGTGTCTTGTCAGTCTACCATAGTCGGATGTTTTAGGTTCTAAAATGTCAAGTACAGTAGGATAGATTGGAACTAGCTGTGCTGTAACATATTGACACCATTGATATTTATGGAACAAATAATACCAAACGATAACTGTTGATTTAGTCTCTCATTCTGTTTTTCAGTGATGTTATGATGCATATTACTTTATCTCTGTGTGCATGGTGAAAATAGCCAAGATACATGGTTTAAAATATATTCTGGTTATGGGAAACTTATTGCGTTTTTAGATGATCTGTAACATCATTGTGCTCATATACTTCATTAGGTAGAGGGTCATTTGTACTGAAATACCTGTTTCATTAGCCACATTGATGCACTGATTTCATGGCATTTGTATTTTGTAGACTACTAAAGACATTTGAAAGTAGGTAGGTAAGTTGTACCCAGCCAGGACATCACACAAGCGATAAACACCCGGTGACACAAAGTGCTACAATGCAGATGAGGATCACCCGTGAAGAGGTCTTGCAAACCCCGTTCAGCCCTTAGGCCATATTTATGGCCCAGCTATATTTAAGGCCCCTGGCACAAGCTAGGGTGTGACTTCAAAATAACAAAAAAATTGCATCCCACAAGGGGACGACTTGTTATATTTGAAAGTGGTATTTAATTGTATGTAATTCTCAACTCTTGGGCTTGGGATTGGCTTCCTCATCCTGTAAAAACCATAGCCACAAAAACCAACCAACCATGGATAACTAATGTAGAGCTTTGGGAGAGAACTAAACAGGCTCCGGTGGACCAAGAGGTGTGGAAAAGACGGCGTTGGATAGGACACACACTGAGAAAACAGGAGAACAGCATAACTAGAATGTCTTTGCATTGGAACACACAGGGGCGTAGGAATAATGGAAGGCCAAAAAACACATGGAGAAGAGAGCTGGAGAATGAAGTTAAAAAGATGGGGTGGACATGGGGAGAGCTCCATGCAATGGCGAAGGATAGAACGACTTGGCGTGAGTTGGTTGAGGGCCTATGCTCCATTGGGGGATAGAAAGGCAGAAGAAGAAGAAAAGAATTCTCAACTCAAATGCAGTGCTGGTTACAATACAAAATGGAGATTTCAACAAAAAACAAAAAAAAGATATGTTAAGATTTTGGTGAGAAACAAGTAGCACAAACATTAAAACAATATACCTCACAAAGATGTATTAGTGTGCTGTTGTATCCATTCTGTACTACTGGCCTCAGTATAGTTCTTATTAGCCTAGTCTTTGTCTGTGTGTATTCAGGAAATGATGGACATTGTGGTGGTAGAAAGTGGAAGAATAGGCCTCAGTTTGAATAATGGACAGACAAAAGTAATGGTGGTCAAAGAAAAGAATTATTCCAAAATGTGAAATAAAAGTCGATGGTGTTATTGTGGAACAAGTTCAGAAATTTAAGTATTTGGGCACGTGGATAACATCCGATGGAAGATGTATCACAGAGATAAAGAACAGAATAAGGCAGGCAAAAACTGCATTTTATAAAATGAAGAATATCTTATGCCAGATATCTCTGTTATTGAAGGTTGGAAAAAAAGAATTCTTGCATGCTACATACATCCAGTTTTAACATATGGCTTTGAGTCCTGGACAATCGGTAGGCAGGCCAAATAATTTCTTGATGCCTCAGAGATGTGATTTTTACAGAAGAATGCTTAAAATACCTTGGGCAGCCAAAAAAAAGCAACCAAGAGGTTTTGAAAGAGGCAGGAGCACGAAGACAACTTATCACAGACATCAGATGGAGACAGTCATAATTTTTCAGCCATGTTATAAGAAGAGGGAAAATGGAACATGTTGTGACCACTGGAGATCTGTGGAAGGAGGGATAGAGGAAGACAACGAGAGAAGAATTTTGAGTCTTGTTGCATGGCATAGAGGTATGTCAGCACACGAACTGATACATGCTGCAGGAGATCGCAGATTGTGGAGAGGCATGATCTCCCACGCCAATCAAGATAAACCCACCCCTATTGTTTATATGTAAACATAGTCCAGAGAAACCAGAACTTGCAGTACAGTGTGGTGTTTCATGATGACCTGTTAGCCTGTCAGTGAAATCGGTGTCAAAGACCTCATCACAACTGCACTTTTCATTGCCAGAAAATGATGAAGTACCCACCCCCAAATCTAATGAACAGACATGTCCATATGAAGAGGACAAATTCTGAAACATGTCCCACAAGACTATTAGTTTCGCAAGAACTGTAACTGACAACATGATCTGTATAAGGAGAGAAACCTGAAACAGACTGCCAGCTTGAATAAGAGATCTAGATCCTCTTTGAGGGTGTCAGAGTAAGAAGTGCCCTGTGAACTGACTCAGTTATGACCATTATAACCTGAACTGATTCCTGTTGTTCACAGACCCATGTTACATTCATGGATGGTTATGTGTTTCTGGAATCTAACACTTCAAAATAATGTTCTCTCTGAAGAAAGAAAGGAGCCAATGTGGTGTAGCAGCTAGATGCTGGCCTGTGGATCGGAAGTTCGTGGGTTCGGGTCTTGCTGGAGCAGGACTTTATTTTCCTTTTAAAAGATTACTTTGGCTCTCAGGTCGACTTAACCTTGAATGAGTACCAGGTATAGTCCCGGGAAATGAATGAAGCGACCACATCACCCACTGTTTGCCGACTGGTCTCTAGAATATAGGTATACTGGTGGGACATTGCTCACTAGAGCCAACACTACCACCTAACCAACTTGTATTCTCCTGTTTCTTGCTTTCTATTTTGTCTTCTTACAGACCATGTCTTGTGGCAGTGACCGAACATCATGATTCTCATGGTTATTATCTGATACAGCTGTTCCTCTGGCACTGAACCAGACTTTCTTATTCTTTTATCTTTAGATATTCCTGTTCTCTTCACTTCATTTTCCAGATGTAAAAATGTTTTTCTCTTTTTCTTTTCTCATGGTCTGTCAAAAGAATGTGAATTTTCTGTACTTTGATATGAGTGACTAGATAAATGTCTTC